TTGCCCTCCCGGGGGCTTGAGGTAGGCCTCTACAGCCTTTGGAGACCAAAAAATAGTATACCAGAAGTGATGTAACAGGCCCATTTTTCGGCCTCCAAAGGCAGCAGAGGCTTTCCTCGAGCCCCCGGGAGGGCAAAAAAAGCCTCAAACGAGCCGAAAATCAACTGGAAGTTGTGAACATGTGCAGTGCAGGTAAGGGGGCGGGGGGGTGTTGCATGCGCAGGGGGGTGAGGCACATTGCATTGTGGGTGCCAGTATGCACACTATTGCATGTGCAAGCGCTTTTGGCACACCATAACAAAAAGGTTTGCCATCACTGCACTAAAGGGTCTTTTTTTTTTTTTGGGGGGCTGGGGGGTTTTAGGGGGGGGGTTTGGGGGGGGGGGGGGGTAAGTGTAAATCCTATAGAGCAGGGTGTCAAACTCAGGGCCTGCGGCTGGATGTGTCACATGCTGGCCATTCCCACAGTTTAACGAAGGGGGAAAAAGTCAAGATAACTCATGTGATGACAACGTGATGCTGCGAGTTTGACACCCTTGCTATAGAGGTAAATATTGAATGCTTCTTGTTTGCCATTCCATGGGGTAAAATAATTTAATTATATTCATGTTCATGAAAAAAAATGTCTGCAGTTGGAAAAATCATTGGAGAACCAATTTTACTGTCTGGCCAAATGTTCCAAATATTATATATGTATGTAAATACACAATTTTACTTTTTGAGTACTTTTTAAATAAAAATACTTTTATTTTTAAATATTACTTTCTTTTATATACCGTGTTTTCCCCAAAATAAGACTGGGTGTTATTTTCTTTTGAGCCCCCCCCCCCCCAATGGCTAGGGCTTCTTTTTGGGGGTATCTTAATTCCCCCATGTACTGGTAGGCAGGGGGCGAGTGACCCCTTGCACCAGCTTCCCGGAGGGCTCCAGCAGACCATTCTACCGCCCACAGCTTCTTCATGGCCACTTTTGCAGCTGTTGGGTCTCCTCTTTGCTTGCAGTGCAGACAGCACAAGGTGAGGAGAAGAGGCCGAAGGGGGAGAAAGGGGGGAGAAACTTGCCCCACATGCCCTTACCTAATGGTCGCACCTGCCATCCATGCAGAACAGCCTCGCAGTGGCCGCTTCAGCAACCCTAGCCACTGCACCCCTTCTGTTAATGGCGGCCACAAAAAGAGCGGTAGCCCCAGTGATTTGCCCCATACACCTGTTACTTATTGGTGTGATGGTTACAGCAGACCATCCCACCGTCCACGAAGCTGGTAGTCTGTGCTGAGCTTGAGAAAAGGATGGCAAGCAGAAAAATCCCCCTCCCCATTTTCTTGCCGTTCGCCAAAAAGGCTCTATTCTGAGCCTTCAGCGTTGCTACTTTGAAAGCTCAGAATGGAGCCTTTTTGGCAAGTGGCAAGAAAACGGTGAGGGTGATTTTTCTGTCTGTCATCCTTTCTTCAAGCTCAGCACAGATGGATATCCCAAATAGGCTCCTTCCTGAGCCTTCAGCGTTGCAATCCTGGGATGTGTGTCCTTTTCTCAAGTGACATTTGATCACTTGAAAGGAACAGGCTTCACGCAGAGAGAAGGAACAAGAGGCAGCTCTTGGCCCTTGCTGGCTCAGCTGATCCACGGGCCTGATTAAGAGGCTGAGCAGCCATGAGGTGACCTGGGAAGGGAAGGGCTGCCTCCTATGCTGGCCATGCTCACCCCTTTCATGAGGGCTTATTTTGGGGTAGGGCATATCAGCCCCCCCCCCCAATCAAGCTACGGCTTATTTTCAGGGTAGAGCATATTTTTAGGGAAACACGGTACTTTTAATAGATTTGTAAATATTATTAATTACTGATGGCAAGGAATCCCTGCCTTTCAAGAAGCAGGCAAGCAAGTTTTTGTTAATTGAATGGTGATGGAAATTGTTGTTTTCCCATATATTTTTTTCCAAGCGTTAGTATTAGGATCAGGGATGGGTTTCTACCGGTTCTGTCCACCTCTGTAGAACCGGTAGCTCTGAAGAGCAGCAGACATAGAACCGGTTCTGTGTCTGCTGATGTTTTTGCTCACCCGCCCACCTCTTACCTGATTTTTATTTCCTGATTTTTCAACTTCAGCTGCCGAACGAGGCACAGCTGCAGTTAAAAAAAAAAAACAAGAAAAGAGGGCTGTTTCAAAGGCTGCTTCTCTGCATGCAGCGTGCTAATGATGATTTACAGGCACGTGGCTCACAGCGGGCGGGGAAGCTTGTAAACCCCGAACTGGTAGTTAACCCTGTCGTATCCCACCCCTGATTAGGATGGTTTGAAAATAATTCAGAAGTGTTTCTGAATGTGTGTGTACGTAGCATCTCTTTCAGACAGCTGCAATTTTAAAGCATCCATGTGACTCAGAAAAAGGATTTCTCTGCTTTAATGAGTTGACTAACTAAATCTGCCATGTCTGAAAATAAAATTTTGGATGCTTTAAAGAGGCGTGCTCATTTTTCCATTAATTTTGAAGTATCTTTTTTGAATTTTTTGAAGAATGTTGAACCTTATTCTCTCTTATATTTAGTGCAATATATGAAGAATAGTGTATAAGCTTTATTGGCTGATTTGCAAAGATGTTCTTATAGATTGTAACCATAAAAGATAATGTAAGGACAAGGAAATTGTATACTTAGCCAGTGTTTAGTTTGTGATTTCAAAAATGCCAGTTCCTGAAGATGGTTGCAATTTGTGTTAATCATGAAAAACCTCAAACTGTGATTCCTTGACAATTAAACAGTATTATTATCTTTTCCTTTATATTATTGACAGAGTTGCCCTTGATGTTCACGTTGTTATGAAAGCTAATTATTTAATATCATGGATTAGCCATTAACAAATGCCAGCAAGCCATATGTAATCTCAAGGAATAACTAAAACAATGTGAACCAAAACCATGACCCCAAACGCACAAAGTTGATGACCCATTACCACCAACCAAATACATCTTTGTTACATACCTCACCCATTTTTTATAAAAAGTCTAAATCTGTAACTCATTTTATTCATTAACAGAAATCCAATAAAAGTTATAAAAATACATAAGTATACAGCCGCCTTTTCTATTTAAAATGAAATCCAAATACCTCTCTTTAATAATGAAAATCAAATCCTAATTAAGAATTAAACATTACAGAAATTCAAAACCCTTAAGCATTACCAAAGATCTTATTTATGTATCAGGAGTAATAATATATATTGTGTACCAACCCATTACACTCGTTTAAAAATTTCAAAAAGAAAAGTATCTAATCTAAATGTCTATTAAACAACACTAGAGATTGCAATCTACTATTTAACCATAATCCAAGAAACCAATTTTGCTTTTGCTTTTCTCTTTCCTCTCAGGAATCTTTAAACATAAAGTATATATTGAACTTCTCATATTCTGATTTAAAATAAGTAATCCACGTTGCTCTTTAGTTATTTGTGCATGTATCTCTTGTTGATTTTTAAATAGTATAGCAGCTCCATTTGTAAATCCAATAATTTCCTTCTTTTAGGTTATAATTTTGGAATCCTCCATAATAACCTTTTCATTTTGATTCAAAGAAACTTGATTCTCTTCAGTAGTTTGGGTTGCAGTATAGGGTTAAGTAGATCACACAATTCTTGAGTCTAGAAGGCTGGTAAATTTTCTTAACATAGCCATCATCCAATGATTAAACTTCAAAGCCTTCTTATCAGTAGCTTATAAACAAAATTCTTTCCTGAAGAAGAGGACAGTTCTAGTTAATTTCCATGTCTTTAAATAATTTTCATCCAAATTCTTAATGTTTTAAGAACTTACCAGAAACAATATAGTCATCCTTTTGCTGTATACACATATTTTTCTTTCTTTTTAAGTGGATTAAAGAGGGACTCAATCAGCAAATACATAACTCACAGTTTTGAAGACTTTTAAATCTTGAAGTCATAAGAAAATTAAAATCCAAGGTAATTATAAAGAATGTTGATTTTAAAATAGCTACATTAATGGCTCAGTATGACAAAACACACAACTCCCAACTGATCACAAGTGGCTACAAAAATATCCAAGTTATCACAAGCATCTGCAAAAATATGAGATTTTGCTGTTGAGCTCACAAAAAGTCCCGATTGACCGGAGTACACAAGAGTCTCTTTAAGATCTCTATAATTTAGAGAAAGTTATTGATAGTCTGGATTCTACAGCTGCCTTTTGACTGCTATGTCTCCCACAAAACATGGCATGTCGGATCATCCGGTCACTGGAAGTGGTCTTAGTAGAGCTCATTGGTGAACACCAACTAGCAGTCAGAAGACATGATGAAAACTCTTTACTCTCACACACCCATGAATAGAGTTAACCATTATTTCAATAAGGAAACGATGAGCATCCTAGACCAATCATCTATCTATAGACACATAGAGATAAATACATTTATACACTATTCAATGAGGACTACAAAAAGCTAAGAAGGGAACAGAAAGTCCAGAACATAGGGTTTCTAGCAGCCTACAGCCAGAAAAGCACACAAAGTATTCAAACAGAAAACTACCCTAGTCAAGGAACCACAAGGAGAAAACTATCATTGGCAGGGCAAGCAACTGTATATAAAACCCCCACACTAACACTGAAGATTACCTAATCAGGTGATGAAATGTCTGTGTGCAAACAGCCAAGCTCAGAAAGCACCAAGGATTCAAAACAGAAAATATTTTCAGAGAAAATATTTGGAAGGGGGAGGACTTATAAGAATGGTTTTTATGTTGCATAAGGAGACTTCAGTTTCTATTATCAGTTTAGGGAGAAAAAGTCTCCCAATAAGAGCATAATGGCAAATAGAGGTCAGCTTGATTTCTTCAGTTGGCTGAAAAAGCAATTGGTACATGAATCTTTTCCAACCTATCGTTTGTCAGAGAAAATAGCCTGGGTATTAAGAGCCATTGTATTGCAATATGTTGTACAATATGTTTTTAAGAATCTTTTGATCATATTTTAAAACGTAATATACTTTCCTTCCAGGTCGAATACATGAAGCTATGGTAACATCTCTAAATGAGGATAATGAAAGTGTTACTGTAGAATGGATTGAAAATGGTGATACTAAAGGAAAAGAGGTATTGTCTCTTTAACCATCTAAATGTTATGAAAAGTGAAATTCTTCAAACCAGATACAATATCAATTTGTAGAAATAGTTGTAGAAATAGTTGTATAATATGAATTGCATTCAATGAAAACTGTAACAATATGGTTCAAAGGTATTGTATGCTTTTAAAAAATCAGTCTAATGGAAGAAATAATTAAAATTTCATCACCAGCTGAATTTGCAAGAAATAGCTTGACCCAATACCCAATATTGACCCCAAATAGCTAGACCTGCATTTCTGTTGTTAAGCAACTTGGCTTTACTTGCCAGAAAGTCGCAAAAGGTCTGGAACATTGCAACAGTCATAAATATGAGTCAGTTGCTAAGTGCCTGAATTTTGATCATGTGACCATGGAGATGTTGCAATGGTCATAAATTTTGAAAACGGCCATAAGTCACTCTTTTCAATGCCATTGTAACTTCAAACAGTCACTAAATGAACTTAAGTTGAGGACTACTTACCACTTATTAGCACCCTTCCTTGAGACATATATCTTTTTGATTATCTGAAATGTACTTTCCTTTATTCAAAGAAAAGAACCTGAAACACAGTTGGGAAGAAATATAGTCACCTGTATTATCAAGAAAAATAGTCATTTGTTTGAGGAGAAAGGCAGTATATCAACTAAATAAAAAGGAAATAGATCAGTTAGACTTATATCAAGCAGTGATATATCTCTGATGAGACTCTGCTGATCAATAATGTGGCAAAAGACAGCTGTAATTCCTAAAATTTCAGAATTTCGCTCAGAATTGAACAAAAGAAGCATTTTCTTTCTATGTTAGTAGAGAATGTCAGTAATTCATTTTGCCCTAATTTATTAGGTTCTGCTCTTTTTAGAAAAAAGGAAGACCTTTAATTTTGGTGGCAATATTATATAAGGACTGTTTGTTGAAAAAAGGGAAGTAAATGCTTCTCTGTATTTATTTTAAACTATTTTTTCTTTTAAAAGATTGACTTGGAGAGTATATTTTCGCTTAACCCAGACCTAGCTCCTGAAGAAGATGATCCTAGCCCAGAGACTCCTCCACCTCCCACACCCTCGGCAAAAGTAAACAAAATTGTGAAGGTTGGTAATGTATATAATATTTATTTAGTTGAAGTCACTGTACTTCATTGTGTCTCTTAGTTTATAATTATCTTTATTTTAGAACTGAAAATTTAACAGTGTTCTGGTTTTTAAAAAACGTTAAAGACAATGAAATAAGATTTCTTTAACTTTATTTTATCAAAATTTTCTTTTAGATTATAACATAATGTGAATTTCAGTCATTACAGCCAGCTGTTTCCCTGATTTCAATATTATCCCCCCCAAAATAATTTCCTCTATAGATTCTTTAAGATTTTTTGTAACTTCTTCATTCATCTTTACAGACCTATTTTCCCTTCTTACTCATTTAATATTTTTGTAATATTTCTGGGATAATTCCCTTTTTTCTGTCAGTTGCTGTAACAATCTTCTCCTTCCCATGTGTTGTAACTTTTCTAGTAGTTGCCATTCTCTTATTTATAATCCAAAATTAAAAGTAAGTCAATTACAAAAATGAAGGCAAACCTCACTCTCTTTTTCTCTTTAGACTTCTCTTTGTTCTTAAAACTTTAGTCCAATCTGTCTTTCTGTAGTTTTAATAACACAGACCATCTCATGATACACCTTTCTCCTTGTTTTATAAATTCCACCAATTGTCTTTTCCCTTTGGTGTTAAAAAAATCAGTACTAACAGGAAGATCTGGCCTGTTTATTTAATTCATTCCATATAGTACTAAAGCACTTTCAAAATATTACTCCTTCAGATTTATACTGTCCTGTTTATTTATATCTTTCTTTGTCAAAAATCTGATTAAGCTCTTTGCTGTTGTTTTAATGTCTTTTAAAAGTATTTCCTCTTTGTTTTACTTTCTGTAATTCAGAAGGAAAGCTGGCTCTCTGAGAGACTGCTTTCTTTGTCCAGCTGTTTTCAGAGACCTCTTTTCTACTGTAAATTGATTGAAACCAAAAGTGTTTAAGAAAATGAGGCTTTGGTAGAACTTAATGTCCTTTAAAATGCTACACATTGTGTGTGCAAGCGTAATGTGTGTATAAATGTGCTGTTTTCCCCTTGTCCCCCCAGACATTCTACCCATGAGAAGACTGTTAGACTTCCATCCCGCAATCTCACAAGAAATTGCAAATTGGGATGTAAATAGATCAGTCTCCCAGTCAAAAAATCTTTCACTTTTGCTCTGCTGTCTTTGTTACTTCAGAGACATCTAGTCCACCATAGAACCTTATCTGGAAGCTGGACAGTTATGTTTTATAACGAATTATTAAGTGGAAGCGTGTGATCGAGCAGCCAGGGATATTTTATGTCAAGAGTTCTTCATCTATACTGAAACCATTCCAGTCTTACAGAAGATAGTAACAATGCTCTATGTAAAAAGTTGAACAATGGGAAGTAACTTTGTTATGGATTATAGCAGGGGTGTCAAACTCATGTTGTCATGGTGGTGTCACGTGACATATCGGGACTTTTTCCGCTTCGCTAAACCAGGCATGGAAGTAATCATCGTGTGACATATCTGGCCCATGGGTTGGAAGTTTGACAGCCCTGGATTATAGTGTCAAAGTGTTCATAGCAAATTGTAAGGCTAAACTAAATATTTTTAAATAAAAATAACCTTATCAGCTAATGAATTCATTGGTATGGACAGCAGACTTTTCATCTTCTCTTTGGTAAGGAAGAGGGAGAGAGAGATTTGCCTGGCCAAGTGCAGGACAAGGATTAAACTTTCCTATTTTTTATTTATTTTATTGAATTTTATTTGCCACCTATTTGTAATGAAACAACTCTGAGCAGCTTGCAGCATTAAAACATTAAAAGCCTAACAAATAAATATCTCTAAAACAATAATCCAATAATATTGAAATCCTTTGTTACTGCAATTTATAGTTCTAAAATGATTGATAAATATTCATTAATATCTTCTCCTATTTGCATTTTGAGCTTTCATATTAAATCCGTATGGGCCTCTTGTATTGTGCCAGTATATTCCAAATACAGCTGCATCATACGTACGTGAACCCAAGATAATTTGCAAGTTACATATTTTGTCTTTTAATTTTTAATAACTTTTATATGGAATTTCACTCCTACTACAGTCTTCATTATTATTTTGATAATTTGGTTGTCATCCCCAATTTTTTATAAGATACATATATTTGGTGGGGGTAGTAGTTAATTTAGTTTTCACATTTCTGAACTGCCCATCTCCCTCAAAAGAGATTATAGTTAGTTAGAAAATACTTACTTCACTTTTTTGTTTACTATATTGACATTCAGTCTCTGCAGTTTTTTACACATTTGTCAGAAGGATAGAGCTGCTTTTGTAGATGGTTATGAGAATAATTTAGGGACTTCCCAAATGTATAAGTTTGGTTGATTTGCTGTTCTTTTTACCTGCTGAAGGGCTTCAAATCTCCCAACAAGTTTGTTTAGACGTGGATAACAAATTATAGAATGTCTGTCCTTTCTCTAGAATCGAAGGACTGTGGCTCCTTCTAAAATTGAAACTCCTGCTAGAGATAACAGAGGTAAGTTAGTTTGCATATTTTTAAAATTTAATTCCAAGTCCAGCTATAAAGAAAAGAAAATCTGTCTTTCTCTTCTGTAAAACTTTGCATGGCAATTTTATTTTCCATTTTAATGCAATGTAATATACTCCAAGTAATACAGATCCTAATATAATTATAGTTAGTTAGCTGGTATTTGATATCTTTCTGGAAAGTTACCGAGGTCATGGAGTGGTAGGCACTGTATTGGAGTGATGATCTGGTTCCAGTTGGTGGAAAGGGGAGAAGTTGAGCTGAGACCTCTGGCTTATGGTATTTCACAGCTTGATGCTTTCCCAACTTCTACTTTATATGCACACAAGGATGTTGGGGACTGATATATTGATATGGCATCAGTTATAAATATGCTGATGTAATCCAATTGTATATTTCCACCCCTAGTCAAACAGATAATGCAGTATTGTCCTGATAGCTAGACGTTTATAGGATCTGGGTGCACAAAATAAATCTAGACATGGTCCCAAATAGAGTGGTTTTGGGGTAGGGTTCCTATGCAATTTAGGAAACCATCTGACTCCAGAGGGATTCCCTCTAAGTTCTGGACATTTTCTAAAGTAGGAGGCACTACTTAGTCACTCATGTTTAAACATGATTGGTCACTTCTTGTTTGGACTGCTGCAATGTATATTACCTGAGGCAGCATTTGAAGACTACTTTGAAACTATAGGTAGTCCTCAACTTAGAACCATTTATTTAAAAACTGTTCAAAGTTACGATAGCCTTAGAAAAGGTGCTTTATGACTTGTAAAGCCCTTTTAGTGGTCGTAAAACATCATGGCCGCTCCTGCAATCATGTGAATGTGATTTGGGAGCTTGACAACCTGTTTGCACTTGCATCTGGTTGCCACGTACTCTACGATCATGTGATTGCCACTTCTAAGTTTCTCTTCAGGTTTCCCCAGAAAATCAATGGAGAAGCCAACAGGGAAGATTGCAAGCTATTGTCACTTGCTGAGAGGGCCCCCTCTCATTTTGTGGGAGAAGGAACTGCCAGTTAAGGGGAACTGAACTCTTCTGGCATGGTGCAGAAACATAGCTCAAATCCTGAAAATCTGAACTGCCTCCTGTAGTCACATGATGCCTTGCTTATCAACACTGCCCAACTAATGAGATTCCTGATTCAATTGTGGGCCTAAGTTGAGCACTACCTGTACAGCTAGTTTACAATGTAGTAATTGGAGTAGCTGTGTGTTTGTTATGATTTCCCCACACAACTTCTCTATTTCAACAGCCCTAGATTCTAGATGTAATTTGAGGGTCTAGATATCATCTTTAAAACCTGGCTTGAGGACTGCCACCTTTTAATTATTTCTGTCTGTCAGATAAGATAAGATGAAAGAGACTTTCGGTTGATCCACCACCACCCAGCCTCCCCAGTTTTACTGGGCTGCAAAACATTATTAAACTTGGCTTTTCTAGCAAGCCTTGGGAACAATTGGTCCCTCTTAGGATATTCTCTTTGAATTTGTTCATTTCTCCAGTATAGAATTGTGAGTTGTTTGTTACTTGCTGATTTTTATGCTTTTGTATTTTAAAAAAATCCTTATTTTGTAGAATAGGATAAGTAAGCTGGCAAAATCATTTATAATTGGAGTAGAATATAAGTCCAGCAATGAATATTTATTTATTTTTAGAAATCTCTTGGAGAGTTTCAGAAGCACAAGTGTTTTGAGTAAGGGATGATCTGCAGGTCTGGAATGAAAACTTTCATGTAGTACATTTCTGCTCATGACTCATTTCTCCCCCATCTCTACCAGAGGATTAATACTCCTCTGCTTCATTGTTTGGCTGATCACCTCTCATTGCTGGTATGAATATTTTTATTGGAATAAGGTGTGGGAGTCCCATAATCTGTAATGCATGAGCTAATATTTAGACAATGGGGCCTAACTAGTTCTTATGGAACATATGAGTAACCACCTACCATTAAATACTACCTATAACTTTTTAAAGTTATAATTGTATAACTTGTTTTGGTTGATTGTATTGTCACAAGGAAGATCCACCAGAGTAAGTCTACTGGCCCTGATAGTTATGTGTACTTGTATGGTTCTGCCAGAGTGACACATGAATTTTATTTCTTACATAAAGATTGACAATCACTTGTGAAAGATTAATTCAACTACTGATTCGTTACGTAACTTATTCTTATGTTTTGATTTATCTCCAAGAAGTATGCTGATTTTTCCCAACTATAATTTGCTTCATTAAACAGTATCAGATTTAATAAACAGTATAATTATCATTAACAAGTCACTGAATTGTGAAATAATTACACTTATTTCTTTTCCATTTTGCCTCATTTTCCTAGTAAATCTTTTTAATAAACACTTTATTTTGATCTTTTCAGTGATTGGTTCTGCACGTGCACGACCTACTCAACTTCCTGAACAGTCATCATCTACACAACAGAATGGTAGTGTTTCAGATATATCTCCAGTTCAAGCTGCAAAAAAGGAATTTGGACCCCCTTGTATGTAAACCATGTATCAAGGATTTATTTTAGGCATTACATGTAGACTCTCTTGGATGATTACATGATGCTTAAATAGAGATTTAACTATAGCATTATTATATCTTGTTATAATACAACATTGTGATTATTTTTCAATAGAATAGATTAAGAATTCTGTTCTAACTAACAAGCTGAGTTTAAAATCGGCCAGATCTTACATTAGGACAAACCAAGACAGTAACGTGCATTAGTGGCTGTTTCTGTGTTGTCACTTCTTTTTTTCCATATCCTGCTGGCCTAGGTAAGACAGGTAGACACTCTACCTTCAAGCTGAACTAGCCATTTAGGTGAGACCTCTAAGTCAAGTAGTCTTAACAGAAGAGAATTCACATAGTCTTCCTGGAAAGCGGGGGACTCTGCTCTCCTTGTTAAGGAGTTATGCTATCCTCTCTTATTCTCCAGGGCCAGCAATAATGATTATGACATAAACAGTATTAAATAAGTATTGAAAACATTTCCCTAGAAAGTCCCCTGTCCCTTAGCTAGGCCAACAGATTTTCAAATAAAAAAAATTGCTGTATTTGTTAACTATTATGTAACACGCCCACGATAAGATAATTGCTTAACATTACAAAATAAGGGAAGGAGGAGGGTGGGACTATGAAAAAAAACAAAACACTGGTTGAAGGGTTATTTTCAGCCCGGATTTGTTAAGAAAAAAAAAAATCTCTCTGGCCTATATTAAAATTCTGTCTCTGGGAGAGCAGCCAGCAGAATTTGTTAGTTTGCAGGTGGTGTACAAACTATGGTGCAGTTGAGTAGCAACTAGATAATATTAATAGGCTGGCTATTTGAACAATACATTGTCAAGCTCTCTGGCAATTTTTTCATTCCACCTCCCACAGGTCAAAATGGTTATTCAGAAGATGGTTATATATTATGAATTTTTAAACCCATTTATATTGAATTAAACTAACATGGACAGTTCTCAATCTTACTAATTTAAAAACTGTGAAAACTTGAAATACATGGTATGACAAAAACTGTCTTTCTTCTTTAAGCACGTAGAAAATCAAATTGTGTGAAAGAAGTTGAAAAATTGCAAGAAAAGCGAGAAAAGCGAAGATTACAGCAACAGGAAATTAGAGAGAAACGAGCACAGGTTTTTATTTTTTTTATTCATAGTGCTACTGTGTACTATTCATATTTTTCTAACCATTTAAAACAATGCATTGAATTGAATCCTCTTCAGAATCTTTTTTTTTTCCTGTTCCAAGCAGCTTCCATATCCTTTTTTTCACATCATTTTCCATTCCCCTTATTTGGAGGTTAATCTTTTTTTACAATGCATCCTAATGCAAAAGTTGTACTTTAACTTCTTATAGTAATTTATTTTCATAGCAATTTCTAACTTTTTTCCTCCTTCTATGACCATATTTTATTATGGAATTTGAGTTTTGACTACCATAAAACACTCTGTCCCACATTCACTCTTATAAGCTTATTACTTTCTCAGTCTTTTTCAGTAATTATGATAGTAGTCATGCCATTCTTAAATTACTTAATGGTCCTCTTTTATGTTATTCCCACCCTTCTCTTATCTCCCTTAGCAGAATAATGTGGATCTTATTCATTCAGAATATTAGACATTTTTCCTCAGATTTTCCCATTGATTATAACCTTCTGCAGTGATTATTAATTAGAGTATAACATGCAACTATCACCAATCTAAGGATTCCTAGTTTAATATGCGTCCCTACCATCCTAGATTATACCAATTTATACTGATAGGTACCAGCCCTTAATTTTTCCATAAACATCAGGCACAAGCAATCGGAACCACTCATAAACAATCTCAAGCAGAAATTTTATTATTAGTCAGCCATGATAGCAATAGCACTTAGATTTATATACTGCTTTACAGTTCTTTACAGCCCTCTCTAAGTGGTTTACAGAGTCAGCATATTGCCCCCAACAATTTGGATTCTCATTTTACCCACCTTGGAAGGATGGAAGGCTGAATCAGTGAGATTTGAACTGCCAATTGCAGGCAGGCAGCAGAAGTAGCCTGCAGTACAGCATTCTAACCACTGTGCCACTGAGGCTCATTGATATGATCTGAGAATCTCACCAGACTGAAGACATTCCTTTGAGATTGGTGAGATAAGGCTTCAGGGATTGTGCATGAGATCAGGCTTGCAACTTCTTGCAGTGCAAGGACTCTAAGCCATGCCCCCTCTTAACACCTTCCTCCAGTGTACTGTAGCTGGAGGTTCCACCACAATAATTAAATCTATGCTTTCCAGCATGTTGTTGATCATGACTTTCTTACAAAGCTTTTTATTAAGATAAAGAAAAAATAGGAAAGGTTATTAGGCATAGTCCAACCCAAGCCACATGCACTATTTTCCCTGACAATAATGACAACACTGTTGATCAGTCTAACACAAAAAATGCTAATAATCCCGCAAGATCAGCTTTAGCTTGCTCATGTCATTTGGCACAAGCCAGGATCTAAATATATTCCGATAAAGAAGTTATTTGCAGACCAAATATTTGTTATTGTTGCCCATATCCCCTCATGCAGTGAAGTGATTGATCTCTCAGTTGAATTCAAAACTTCCTTGGCTGGTTTTTGAAAAGTCTCTATGGTATAAACTCAGAGTTTTAATGTTGATGACTTTATTTTAATACTTTAAGTTTTAATTGTCGCTGTATCGTTTTATTAACTGCTTAGAGCGATGCTTCCCAAACATTTTGCTTCATTACCCAAACCACTTATCAGAAATTCGTTTTTACCCAATGTAGGTAAAACACTTTAAGTCAATTTAAATATCCCTGGTATGTTTGGGTAATATGTTTATGTGTTATTACCCAAAGAAAAACCACTTATACCCAATTTTAGATAATTTACTCCAGTTTAGGAAGCACTGATTTAGATGCTTTAGAAGTTTACAGTGTAGTAAATGTATATATAAAATAAATAACAACATTTCAGATGCTTATTTGATCTGAAGATCCATAATCATTTCTTTATTTCACTACTTTCAAAATGTGCAATCCAAATGACTAAGTGTGAGTGGTGAAATGCTACATAACCATCAGATTCATGAAGTCAAAGCTTTTTGGTCACTGGCACTATTTTATGGAAAACAGCATTTCTCACTCCCTCAATATTAAGTCAACATCTAATTTGGCATTATTGGTATTTAATAAAGCCATTGTAATTTGTCTTTGTTCAGAAAATTTTGGGGGTCTGAATTGAGAGTAATAGTTTCTTTCCCCCGCAAACAATGATAGTTAGATTTTTTGGGGGTATGATTGTTCCTCATTGTGAGATGAAATGTATGATATGAGATGTGTATTGTTATGGTCCTACATTCAAACCAATTTACTGCGTTGGAATGTATGATGTTTAGAATAGGTTTGTGACAAATTATCAAGTCACTTTGGTGGGATGGGAACATCATCATCATCCTAGCCATTGTCTGTAGGATGAAGGCCTGTTCTGAATGTTTCCAATCAATACCTCTTGAACAGGGGTGTCAAATGCACATCACGTGACATATCGTGACTTCCCCCCCCCTTTCACTAAACTGGGCAAGTGCGTAGCAAGTACGTGATGCATCTGGCCCGCGGGTCATGAGTTTGACACCCCTGGTCTTGAGCTTTCCTTTGCCAGTTGGGCCCACAATACTTGCTGATGTCGATCCACCTTGTTTTAGATCTCTTTTTTGTGGAGATGCTTTTCACCAAGTGGAATCCATTCTATAATTGCCTTAGTCCACCTGCCATCAGTTGTTCTTGCTATGTGACCAGCTCATTTCTATTTCAATTCTTTTACTCTTTTGATGGCATCGTATATTTTGTTTGTTCTCTAATCCATGTGCAGGTCTTTCTGTCTTGTCTTGTGAAGCTGAGCATGTATCTTTCCATGGCTCTTTGCGCCATTCAAAGCTTTTGTATCGATTGTGAGATTAGTGTTCATGTTGCTCTGGCGTATGCTAGAAGAGGTAGCACACATGAAGTGGGATAGTTGTTGTAAAAATGTAATGACAATGAATACATAAAAATAAAGCCTGAGCAACACATTTTATTACAAAAAGGAAAAACACATTTTCCTTCTTATTCTCTTTCCAGAGTAATAATAGGCAACCATGTGCATGACATCCACTTGCATCATTACCTCACCTATTGACAAAAACGTTGATTGCAGCAGGCACTAAAAGTTTGTTCATTTTGCATTACACATTTCTTAAACATATATTTGAATTGTGAATTGGGTCTGATTTATCATACATGAATTTTAGAAGAAAAATGGTTATTTGCAAGCGTATTATCTCCATTCAGGATTCTCTTGTAATATTTATGATAATTATATGTTACACTGCCATGAGCAATATGCTTTTAGTAATGATTTTTTTTCCTCTTAGGATGTAGATGCCACAAATCCAAATTATGAAATCATGTGTATGATCAGAGATTTCAGAGGAAGTTTGGATTATAGACCACTTACAGCTGCAGATCCTGTAAGTTTTGTTAATATGTAATCATTAAAAGAAGTTTTGCAAACATTTTGAATGATAACATGGTCATCAGGGAATAAGTTGTAAAATTGGAGTAGTTGTATTTAAACAAACATTCACTTTTAGTGATTTCTTTCTTAGCAAATCTATTTGAGAACTGAATCTTAAATAATAATTTTTCACATTTCATTTCAAAGAGACCATCCATGTTAAATTTTTTTACTATTTGACAGTTTTCTTAAACTGATTTATTTGAGAAAAAATTGCAGTAATGTTTTGCCCTTAACTCTGAAATTAACCTTACGCTTAGGTTATTAGAAGGTTTCGCATTCATTCAATTCATATCTAAATTTAGTAGGGACCAGTTCAGATATTACTTTAGTTTTTGTGTCTAATTGGTTTTACCTGCTATGAGGGGGGGAATTGGCAAATTTCAGCCATGGGTACCTGTGCTTAGAAAAGAGCTTAAATGTACATTTGATGTTAGAACAATGAAATAGAGATTATAAAATGATGTCTCTTTTAAGAAATGTTTTTGTATTAAAGATAAAAGTAACTTACCACATCTTGATTTTGGAGCTATAGTTTTTACAGCAATATGAATAATAAAATATGCCACCATTGTTGATGAGGTATTCAAATTGGCAAAAAGAATTAGCCTAAACCACCTGGTTTATCTTAAAATCCTATAGGAACCTGTAATTAATTGAAACATTTCACTGTGGAATGTTGAATTACAAGTGTTCATAACAATGACTTTTAGATCATCAGTATTTTTAAAAATAGACAGTTATATAATCTTATATACAATTGCTTGAATATCTTTCTCTTTGAGTTTAATTTCAGGTACAATTCTGACTTACTCATTTCATTTTCATTTTGTTTCTTTTTTTGTAAAAAAAAAAAAAGATTGATGAGCACAGGATATGTGTATGTGTTCGAAAACGACCACTCAATAAAAAAGGTATGGCTCATTTTAACATACGGAATTTAAGTGGGATCATAAATAATTTTCAAATGGGTATAGTCTTGAATCCATATACATAGCTGAACTGGATTTTAGAATGTGTAAATATGTTTTAAATTGTTACATATTAAGTTTCTTCTTTCAACCCAGCCCTTTTGAGTTATAAATAGTTAAAATTAGTTTAGAGATGGGGTAATCAAAATTTTATAGAATCAGAATATAATAACTATAGCCATAGAAATGCATTTGCTCAATTTTTTTAAGTTAATGAAAATATACATTTGAAATCTGAGACTGGTAATGGAACTTTTTTTTTACTTTGCCCACCATACTAGAATGAGGAAGGACATATATCTTAGATCTGACATAAGTGATGGAATAGTTCAAGCTGTAATTTGAAGAAAAGCTGAATCCAAAATTATGGTATTAGAAATTGGAAGTTATTTTGGAATTGCTTATATTGTGAAATGAAAAAATTGTCTTAAAGAGGGGAGAAGAAATTTGAAGCTGGGAGGAAAATACATTCGTTAATAGACTTGTAAGAGTTTTTATTAACTCTTGTTAATAAAATTGTAATCAAAATAGATGACAAACTGAAATGATATTTACTGTACCTAAAACTTGAATTTAAGCTACTAATAGCAGAGAATACTTTTTATCAGTTTTGGAATGTGTATGTATGAACAAGTTAACAGGCTGTGCTTTTGAAGGTATTTGAATTGGGTTAGCAAACTTTTATTGGGTAAATATAGAAATGATTATTCTGTAATAAGTTGTATTGAGTTCAGTGGCTATTTTCCCAAGAAAATATACTTTGGACTTTTGGTCTGTCCATTGGGCAGCAGCAATATAGGAAGATGCTAGAGGTAAATGATCAACACAGTGACAATAGCAAGAGCCATCATTTCATACTGTGTGGGAGAAAGCATTGGTAAACCACACTTATATTTTACCCAGTAAAAGATACGTTGCTGTTGAGCACTCCAGCTGAGCTCCCAAGCCAAGGCCTAGGCAGGAATCTCACTAGGACATGATGCTTACCATAGTTTGTGGCCCTTAGCCTGCTTGATAGCTCTCTTGCCTGCCTGCTAATTATTGTCAATCTCCAAAGGTCGCCTCCTGCTTCCCTGTCTGCTTGCTATTTTTTAAATCTCTTTTTATTCTACACGCCCCCACACACTCTGTCTTTTGTAAGCTTAAGGGCCTGGATGGAGTGAGGCTGCCTCTGGAAGTTGGCACATCCTTGAAAATGGTGTAGTTCATTTAGCCAGGCAGCTGGAACACCAGCGCAGATGCTTGTAAGTAAACTTGTAAGTGAATGACTGAATTAATGTATGAGCCCATCTCTCAAGTTTTTGGAGTTGTAACTTTTACAGCTCTTCGGGCAAAAGCATGAGTTGTGCTGACCCTTAGAGAAGTAGGTTGGGAACTGTTTTCACCTGGCTGCAGCTGCTTTTTCCCAATAGCAGACAATAATCCCAGCTTCACTTCCTCAAACTATCAACAAATAAAGAGTAAAGGAACTAGTAGTTAAGAAATATACTTGGAGGGCAATGTAGCATCGAATTTTTTGAAAAGATACCTATATGCCATAACTTGACTGTACCAACAAGGTCAGAATTGTTCAAGTAATGGTTTTCCCTGTGACACTAGACACAAGTGAAAGTTAGACATTGACGAAATAGTATACAAAAAGCATTGATATTTTTGAATATTTACACTGGAGAAGTCTATCCATACCATGGATAGTCATGGAAACACAAATAGATCATTGAACAAATTAACACTCAAGACATAAATGATCAGAATCCAATTATCACATTTTGATAAGTTATGCATAGACCAAGCTCTCTTGAGAAGTCCATAATTTTGGGAAATGAGGAAGAAAAAAAAGGAGGAGGTCAGCCAGGAGCAAGGTGGATGGGCATGATTACAGCAATGATGGCTACACAGTTGGAAGACTAGAAAAGCCATTTTGGGGACAGATCATCCAGGAGAAGATATATCTATGTGGCTTTTAAGAGTCAACACTGACTTGATGACACACTTTTTCTTGTGTTTATGTTCATGAAGTCAATGGGATATGAATATCTACTTAAGTCTTTGCTTTCTTGAGATTGCATCAGTTTCCCACTCATTCATTCTCTATATTTGCATGTGATATATATCAGGGGTTGCCAACCTTTTGGACCTCAGGGATCACCAAACTCATAATTTTAAATCCCGGGGACCACTAACTGGTTCTGTGGATGTGGCCTAATTTGTGGGTGTGGCTTGGTGGTCATATGACTGGCCGGGCATGGCTTGTATATAAATATTAAAAATATATAAACATTGAATTTTTTATTTTAAAAATGAGCAACTTTTACCCAAAATCAGGCAAAGCAGGCAGGAAGATTGAGTTGCTCACAGAATCACAGATTCACTTAGAGATCTGTGTTTCTGCCATCAGCTATCTGAGTCTGCACTGCTTCAGTCCTAAGAAAGGTTCTGAAAGATTAGCTAGAGAGAAAGAAATCCAATGATTTCCTGTTTTGTATCTAATCTAAATCTCCCAGCACAGCAGAACAGTTGATGGTCGGAAAAAGGAAAAATAGCAACTTAGCAGGCAAGTTTGCCAGGTAAGGAGTGAGTGGATGGGGAGGATTCCCGCAGGCCATGTGGGAGGCGCAGCCTTGTGTTCCTGCACAGCCTGGATTAATTGCTTTGGGGGATGCTCTGGGGGTGAGATTTCTCTGCAGCCTACCAAAATTTTCTCAAGGACCACCGGTTGGCAATCTCTGATATATATGATGGATTGTGATTGTCTCTAAAAAAAACACTGTGTGTATCAGCAAATGGTGGAACAATTTTTCAAATGCGGCATTTTTTTTTACTATGATTTTAATTGGTAGTCATTAGTTCAACTAATTTTATCTCAGTTTTTGTCCTGCCCCTGCCTATTTTTGGAGTATGGCCCTGTAAAGGGATAGACTGCCTGAGCAGGTGATAAGCACCTGTGCTGCTTCTTTCCCCTCCTTCCTTTTTTGGCGCTCCCCCATCATCAGCACTAGCTCCCAGTGGGGTTCTGGGTTCAATTTAAGGTGTTTATTCTTACCTATAAAACTCTACATGATACAGGCCCAGGTTATCTGCAGGATCATCCGTCTCTAATCGTCACCAGATTTTTCTTGAGTGGATAGTAGCTATTTAAAAATGTGAAATAAAATGATAGTGTTAATTGGGTGGCTATATGAATTGCTTAATAAATGGTTCTTTTAGCAAGTATTAAAATATGCTTTAAATTTTTGGCATGTGACATTTAATGAATTTATTCTAAATATTAAGTGAATGCTGCTCTAGATAAATTTATTAAAAACTATTAGGAAAGGCTGTAGATTTTATAATAATTGTATAAAGCAAGACTTTTCTTAAGAGTCATACCTTTAGCTATTTCCTTTGGTGATATTCCTTTGTCCTTAATTTGCAATTATGGACCAGTAGAATTAGTTTTATTCTTTAGTAACAGTGATTAAAAAACTGAGCACATATACATCATTTGAAGCTAAACTTCAGTTTCTTCAATTTCATATAATATCAAAAAAGCATAGCTGGAATATTTATTATAAAATAATGCATTTGTATGAAAGAACCTTCAGTGTGTTTAGTTTTATGCCTAGAGGAATATCTTCCCACAGAAAAAGGAAATACATATGTATTTGTGATGGCACAAAGCTTCTTTTGTTTGTGTATCCTTTGGCACGCTTGGCTTTTTCCATTTTTTTTTTTGCTGAGATAGACATTTCACACAATTAGTATTAAGAATTGTATAGCACTAGATTTTGATAAAATCATGAGGGATAGTTTTCATTTTCTGAAATACGTTACTGATTCATACATTGTTAAATGGATTAAATTGAACTATGAGTGTTTTAAAGATTACACAGCTCAAAAGAGGGATAAAGGCCAGTTTGAGTTACAGGCATTGAGTTACAAACTGGGGGTGGGTGGGTGGGAGGACTGAATTCTAGCACACAGAGCTAGCTGGGTGCTGTTGGGCAGTCATTCTCTTTCAGCCCCAGGAAGAAGGCAGTGGCAAGCCAGTTATGGAATCTTACTAAGGAAACTGCAGAGCATTCCGGGTAGTCACCTGAAATTAACAAAGACTTGAAGACACACACACATGTGCATGCCAAACACAGGCATATTAAAATATACATGAATTTGAGGGTGAAGGTTCCGTCTCTGAGCTTCAGGGTTGGTTCCAAACATTTGTTACCAGGCTAGATAACATCTTCAGCAGAGTTTAGGGGGTGTCAGTGTTCTTCTGTTTACAAGGGCTTCGTGTGGTCAGTAGGTATTGTGATAGTGAGGTCACTTCAGGTGAGTTCCATCAGGTCACATCAGGTGAATTCCATCAAAACTCTTGTGATGAGTCTTGTGATGGATCAGGTGCGGGTATGTCAAGTGAGGGTCTTGTGTGGCTCAGGTATGAGTCACCAGTGAGAGCCTTGTGATGGGGAGGTTACATCAGGTGAGGGTCACTTGGAAGTATTGTGCTGGTTGTGGGGGGGTTGCATTGGTTGGTTGAGGGTTGTTGCTGTCTCTGGTTGGCTATATGGTTGATTTGGATTCTTAGGGATTCATAGGCTTGTTGTAAGTCAATATGTCTTTTGTGATATTTGCTGCTATTGCAAAACATGAATTTTACCAATGAAAAATAATAAATATAATTTACCAGAATGTAGTTTAGAAATCAATAAGAATAGGGACCAAAGCATTTGATAACGAATTCCACCATACCATTAGTGTGTAGCCCAAAGGAGGCTTGGGAAGAAGGGCATTGGTGGGTACATACATAAGTGATAAACTACAGGTACCCAGGAAGGTAGGGAGTTCATTCCAAGGAGGGAGCAAGGCAAAAAACAACAAGAGTCCAGAGCTGGATTCTGGGAAGTGGAAGAGATTTAGGATAGCTACTCCCTAGAATCTCCCAGGCTATATTTATTTATTTATTTGTCAATTGCTTACAAGATCATAAGTATAAGTAAAAACATAGTTATGAATACATGGATACATATAAGAAAAATAAAAAATATATAAAAGAAACAATAGGACAGGGACGGTAGGCAGGTTGGTGCGCTTATGCACACCCCTTACAGACCTCTTAGGAAAGGGGTGAGGTCAATAGTAGACAGTCTAAGGTTAAAGTTTTTGGGGTTTGGGGAAGAAACCACAGAGTCAGGTAGAGTATTCCAGACATTGACCACTCTGTTGCTGAAGTCGTATTTCCTGCAATCAAGTTTGGTGTGATAAACCTTGAGTTTGTATCTATTGTGTGCTCTTGTATTGTTATGGTCGAAGCTGAAGTATTCATTGACTGGTAGGACATTGCAATGTATGATTTTATACACTATACTTAGATCGGACCGAAGGCAGCGTAATTCAAGGTTTGCTAGGTCTAGAATTTCAAGTCTGGTGGCATAAAGTATTCTACAATGACTAGAGGAGTGGAGAACTCTTCTTGTGAAATATTTCTGGACTTTCTCAACTGTCACATACGTAATGTGGGTTCCAGACTGATGAGCTGTATTCGAGTATTGGTCTAGCAAATGTTTTTTATATATATATCCAGGATAGTACAAATTTAGTCAGGGAAGGTTCAGTCTATATGGTGTGAGCAGATAATAAACTGGACCATATTGCATCAATCTTGGGCTAGGCCTGACAGCCTGTGAGCAAAAGGAGGAAGGGGCAGTATGTGTGAGCAAAGAAAGACTGGAGGGGTTGGGGAGACTTACCCAATCAACTCAAAAGCTTCCATGCCAGCTTCCCCATTGACTTTGCTTGTGAGAAGCCAGCAAGGAAAGTTGCAAATGGGTGACCACGTGATCGCAGGAGGCTGCAATGTCTCATAAGTAGAAGCTGTTTGCCAGATTTTTGAATTTTGTTCACATGACCGTGGAGGTGCTGCAGTGGTCATAACCTCGAGGACTGGTTGTAAGCCCCTTTGTTCAGTGCCATCATAACTTCAAATGGCTGCTGAACAAATGGTTGTACCTTAAGGTTTACCTGTATGAAACTCATTCTCAGTGGTTTGTGCTTAGTGCTATTCATTTTTAAACTTAATTCAGGTACTGATTTGATTTTGTTTCAATCATAGACCACTAGAGAAAGCTTTTTCTCTAAAGGATCAGATCCGCTTCATCTCTGCAGGTACAGCCATGAGCCTGCTATCATGAAGGCTGCTAGCACTATCCAGGAAAGTCTGCTCCTTGCCAGAGGATCATCCCTGACAATCTGCTGCTTTCCTGGACATTTACAGATTTGATCTTGGGGCCATAGTTTGCTGACCTCTGGATTAGAATGTAGAAATATTCCGCAAAAAATAAAGCGTTGATACCTAGGAAATGACTACTTTAGATTTGGAAAGAAGCCAGGCATATTTTAAGTTCAATTTTGTAAATTCCTTACAAAATGTTTTCATTCAAACCTTGTGGTTTTTAATTATTTATATTTGTAAACTGTGTTCATTAAATGTAATAAATTATAATTTGTAGATGTCTTTGCATAAAAATGAAAGCAAGGCAAAAGGGCAGCATAGTATAAATTGTACAAACTGTTTATACTTTAGTTTAATAGAAATTAAATAGTTTAATTTCTAAGGTAATTCTTATTTGGAATGAGGACTAGCAAACATACATAATTTTTATTAAAAATTCACACAACGAACTTTGTATAAAAGATATTGTAGTCTATTTACATATAGGCTATAGTATCTTTTCACATGTCAAATTATTTAATCACAGATTGATTCAGTTAATTTCACTATCTGTCATATGAATGCTTCAATTATTAAACTCGGGTAGTCTGAAAATTAATTTAGTGTTTCATTTCTTCTCTAGAAACTGTAATGAAAGACCTTGATGTCATAACAATTCCAAGCAAAGATGTTGTAATGGTACATGAACCTAAGCAAAAAGTAGATTTAACAAGGTACTTAGAAAACCAAACATTCCGATTTGATTATGCCTTTGATGACAGCGCCCCTAATGAAATGGTCTACAGGTATGTACTGTTTGCGTGCAATGTAACACCTGATGCTTTCATTTTCTGCAAGTTCATGTAACTCTCCAATTTGGATATCTGATTCAATGTATTCTCATTGACATTGATACATCTTTTCAATATTATCTATTAAGCTATCACAAACTAACAGTGCATTTGTTTGAGAGTCTGCAGGAAAGTATGCTATATGATAAGCTGGCAAAAACTCCAGGCACATCACAATAACTTCTTTTTTAAAATTTTCACAATGAATGTTTTATTTTATGTAAGCTTCCTTGAATTCTGGGTCAGCAACTGGTAAAAAGAAAGCTAAAAATGTAAACAAATTTCAGTGGCATTGATTCCAAAGTAGCAAGGAAAATTTTAACTAGACATAACAGTGGTACCTCAATACTCGACTGCTTTGAAAGTTGTTGAATTTTGACATGAAAATTTTGTCCCAGTCCTCATGGTTTGTTTGGTACTCGAAGTGCAAGCTAAAACTTTATCAGCTGCCTCGTGACTCACTGAAAAAATGTGAATTTATTCAGTTACCAAACAATTTCACACTTTCAATGACTTCTGAAAAGACAAGCAGTTCTCATTGGATACGTTTTTAATGAAGATGACAAAGAGTGTGTCAGAGCCTGTGGTGCAAGTTGAAAAAGGCAGAAAAGAGAAAGAACACCTGAAGTGCAAGTGCCTGATGTTCTATTAGAGGCGGATTTCTCCTTCCAAAAAACATTCCATGTAACCTCTTCTCAGCACTCTCCTCCCACGAGCCCTGTAATGGCTTCCCTAGACATCAGCTTGAAGAGGAAGAGCCGACTCCAGGGATTTCAGAGGAGGGTGAGGGGGAGCACCAGGAAGATGCCAAGTTTTCTGTTCTCTCCCAGCGAGGAGTGAATGGGTCACAGGAAGAGAAGAGGCCAGGAACTTTGGAGAGATCATAAGGGGAATGACCACAGGAGTGACTGGCTGGAGAGGAGAGGGAAGAGATGCAGCTCCGCAGGAGGGCTTAGAAACCCAGTCAGAAGTTCAGGATGGAGAAGGACCACAGCTGCAGTTGGTCATCAGGGATGAGGAGGAACTGCCTCCTCCACTGATCCTAGGATGCATAGGGTTGAATGAGGGGAGGAATAACAGAGGACAGTGAGGTTACTTGCGAGGTGGCAGCCTCATCCCTCCTAATGAGTTACACCGGGGCAGGCATATTTAAGCCCAACATATGGAGCAACATGACATTGAAAACAACTGCCTATTTTCTCTGCTGGACATGTGCTCCAACTCCATGACTCCAGTTTTCATGACTTCAGATCTGTGCTTCATGTGACTGGGTGTTTGGACTTTAAACCTGCTTCTCAGATTTTGGACTTGTACCTTGCCTTGGATTTATCACATGTGGATTTTGCCTCGATTTCGGACTGTGTATGTATGGACTTGCGGACGTGCGCCTTTTCCTACAGACTTTATAACCCTGCGCCAGGTTGAGCTGGCTTGAATTTAGGAACGTTGCAGTGGGTGCAAGTGGAATTTGTCTTAATAAAGTCTTTAAAACTCCCATGGGTTTGCGCGTGTGGACCGGAACAGAACAATCCCATTAAGACATGGACTCTTCTCAGTACAGGGAAAGTGAAACTTTTATTTTATTCAATTGAAGTACAGTATTTATTAATGTTTAGGTTTATTTTTCATGCAGAATAATGATATATAACCCTAACTTTTTACTTATTACCTTAAAAATGTGCATTGTCTTTTTTTGGGGAATGCGTTAAATTTATTTACATTGTTCCTATGGGAAAAATTGGTTTGATACTCATCGGTTTTGGTACTTGTCGTACCTCCCTGAATCAATTAATAATGAGTATCGGGTACCATTAAACGAAAAGTATGGAATTAAAACTTCCATAGAAAAATTCCCTTCCTTAAAATAGAAACTCAGAAGTATTTAATTTTTACTATCCCATTTCCATTGATTTAACTATTTTTGTTTATATATGTGATATGTGTTGTCTTGGGACACTTATTTTTATCTGTGTTGAATACAAGCTTATCATTTAGTTCAGTTTGCTACCTTAAATCATTTACGTCACTTTTCTGCCGTGAATATCAAACCCTCTTATACATAATAAATTCTTTTTTTTTAAAGCTAATTTAAAAAACATGTATAAATGGTAGAATATGAGCTTGGATTCAGTGTTTCTTCAGTTTTTCAAAAATAATTTCTTTCTTTTAATGGCTGAGTTCAGCCCATTTATATTAATTGTAATCAGTTTTTTCTCTTCCATGGTTACATTTTGTAGTTAGGTTTAGCAGCTCTGGTAGATCTTGGTTCACGTTGTACTTTGGCTTCCACCTTTCCACCTACTGCACCTTCTTCTTTTTCAATCGCCATTTGGCAGTCCTCTTGGAATTCAATTAGTGAGATTTCTTTTTCTGCCTCTTTTAATATGTAGTCCTCAAATAGAGGACTTTTGGCTAAGATCAAGTGTAGTATCTGTTCTTATCAGTTTAATATCTGATATGTCCTCTATTTGAAAAATAATTTCTGATTATAGTAATTCCACTGATTCTCTTAAACTCAGCTGTTGAAATCTTGGATAAGAATGGAACGAGAATTCTAAGTGTGGACTGATGTATTGTTGAATGGAACTTCACTACTTGTGAGTTAAATACTAAGTATAGTTGAATGTTATTTTCTTTTTTGCTGAAGGTTTACTGCAAGACCATTAGTGGAAACCATATTTGAAAGAGGAATGGCTACATGTTTTGCCTATGGACAAACAGGCAGTGGAAAAACCCATGTAGGTTTTCCTGTTAATTTCAATATTCTTTGGGTGATTCTTATAGCATCTGGTAGTAGGTTCCCTAGCTGTGAATAATGCCTTCTGTAGAGGGTGATCAGATGCTTAGAGTTCTAATGTATTTTCAGGGAGTTCCATTCATAATATAATTCCTCTTTAGGATTGTTGACCTGAATCCTGAAATGGAGAGTCTCCCTTCTCCTGCTTTTGAGCTTTAAATTTCCTTGTTTTCCTTGGGGCCTCAGTGAAGAATTGTGTTGGGGTTGGGGTTGAGTTTTAGTGATGAGAGCAGGAATTGCCTTCAAAGGCAACTTCAGGTTAGGGAGGTTTTGCCCTAAGATCATACCAGTGTGGTAGAGATCCTTGCAGACAGAGAGATCTACTCAGACATTTAAGCATTCAGAGATGGGTTTCTATTAAACTAAAAACATCCACAGTTACCTTAAGTTTTATTTCATTGGGTGGTAGTTACCTTATTGGCACTATAAAGGGAATGTTAGCATCTTATTTTACATGGATCTGCTTAGTGAAAATGATAGTATAGTCATGCTTCTTTATAAATAAGGCTGTGAACTTGCATAATTGCCCCTCTAATATTGCTCATTTTATTTTTTCCTCAGACTATGGGTGGTGACTTTTCAGGAAAGAACCAAGACTGTTCAAAAGGAATTTATGCACTTGCTGGTAAGAAATTTTAATATACTGTGATTATAATAAATCTGTGATTATAGTTGAAATTGCTGCAAATGTGCCATCAAAGTTGAAAACAAACGCTAGTTGTGTAATGTGGATTACTTTGGGATGGACCTTGAAAAATGTAAGCAAATGAACACTTGGAAAAAGTCTGTAGAGATTCTTAATCATCCAGGTCATGGCTTTCCCAAAGGTGCTTTTGAGAAAAAGGAAGTTTTTGTGATTTCTCCCCCCAAAATAAAAGTTTCCTTTTTCCTTCAAAGTTACCGAATCGTCAGTTCAATGTCTCAGCCATTCCACAGCCACAGCAATCTCTAAGGTGGTGTCTGAGAGACTGCTGAGACCTTTTATTGAGAGAGAGGGGTTGATATCCCAAAGCAGTGTACATAGTACTTACTCCTCCATTTTCTGCCACCGTGACACTATGGATTAATCCCTCAGTAAACTTTCATTATTCAGAGTAAGTACAACCCTGTATTTCCTCAACATGTTGCCCGTTGCTACATTTCTTTTTCTGATAATTATTTGAATAACATTTTGGGAAGAAAAAAGGTGATTACAAGCAATGGTAGAGATATATTCAGTTGAGCTTAGCATACCTTCTGAGAAAACAAAACTGCTGCTTCAAACCTAAGTCATGGTTTGTGGAGCCAGAATTTTCTGGTTTTGCACAATATGTAAAATCAAAGCTGTGGTTTCCAAACCAGAATAGTTGATTCACAAAACATTACTAAGCCAAATGCCAACAAACCACATTATGCCCTAAAATGAGGTGTTAATGAAATCTGTATAAAAGTATGTACACCTCCTAAACTGTTTTACATTTAAAGGAGCCTTTTAACTTAAAAATGGAAAATAAAAGTCTGTCTTCATTCAGGTAGGCCTAGAGAGATGCTTTAGTAACCTCTATAGTTGCAAAGTCACACTTTCTTATACTCCAGTTATAGTAATAATTACTATAAACACTCAATTACATAGATTCTGATTCAATGGATATCAGATGTTGCAGATTTCACCCAATAACGGACCTTTCTTGGTGAATCAATCCAGGCTATATACATGCATCTTAGGTCATATTTTACATTCATTACATACAGTATTCACTACAGCTATGTCTTTGTAGACAGCAAGAGAGAGAAAAGGTTTTTCTGTCCTCTCCAATTCTGAAAATTGCTTTTGGATAGAGTTAGAGGTCTTTCATGAGTTAAAGAGGTGGGAACATATTTTTTGGCAAATTTTTGTTAGCTTATAATCCTTAGGGTAAAACACGTTGTTGTTACTTGTTTTACATTGTAATTTGAAACTTTATTCCAAAATAAATGCTAATTACTAAATTCTTAATTTGGTTTTAGAATTCATGCACAGACAAATAAATGGGGGAGGGGGCAAATGGATGTATAAATATGTACAGAACCCATGCTTATTTTATGCTGTATGTTATCCTTTTCATTTATTCTTCTGGAAGGAAAATAAACCAATTTGTAGTTCATCTGATTTCCTAGCTTATGATATGTGAATCAAGAAAATTAAACTGTAGTTGATAGTTCAGAAATTCAGGATTTGTATTTGGACTTTTTAAAACAACTAAATTATTCCTGGTTTAAATTATAATTTCAGATACACATACAAAGCAAGTTGGGAATTGGGTCGGATGTCATTGATGTTACAGGCCTTCTTCAAGCAATTCTGAAGGAAGAGGGATGGGAGTTGGATTAGCGCACGCCTATTATTTATGTTCCATTCTGTTTATGCCTTTAGCCTCAAAATACAGTTCCATACTACATGTGAACTCTGTATTTGTAGATAAAGCATAATGAACACAGAAAGCATTTTATAAATTCCAGCATTTTTTTTAGCTGATCACTCAGTATAGATAATAAATATGTCCATATGTGAACTATTGTGTATTTCTGAAGTTTTTCCATTTCCCATTTCCTGTAATTGTAATCTATTTGCAGCTAGAGATGTCTTTTTAATGTTGAAGAAGCCAAACTATAAAAAACTGGAACTTCAAGTATATGCAACATTTTTCGAGATTTATAGTGGAAAGGTACGTGATATATTCCTAAAATATATAACTTCTGAATCTTTATCTTCTGTGTTTATGCTTCTTCTCTGTTTTATATAAACAACTGTTACAACCAAACTAAATTAATACTCCAGAAATTTCCTAGTTAACACACATATCTCTTCTCCCTTCCTCCTGCTCCCCACATAAGGTTTTCGACTTACTGAACAGGAAGACCAAATTAAGAGTTTTAGAAGATGGTAAACAGCAAGTCCAGGTGGTGGGATTACAGGAGCGAGAGGTTAAATGTGTTGAAGATGTTCTAAAACTTATTGAGATAGGCAACAGTTGCAGGTATTCTTTTTTTTTACCCCTCTTTCACATTATAAAGTTATCGTAGATAAGATTTAAAAAATTAAATAGTTTTTTAAAAATGTATTTTCTTTGAATACAACCTAAATGAAGTTTCAAAATTGCGTATATTATAGAGAAAAGTTTTTGTTCCATACAATTTATAAATAGATTTTTCCTCTTTTTATAAGAAGCAGTTTTAATATATTCAAATTTCTGTTTTCAAATGCATTAAAAATTATTTTTAAACATTGTCCCATTTTATGTTCACATGTAAATATAGTTAAAATATTTTTATGGGATTTAGAGATATTGTAGAATTTGTGGTATAAATGGAAAACGTGCTAATAATGTGTCTCAATCAAAATTATAAGTGAAGAGGACAGCATAATTGTAATATATACCTTTCAAATGTTTCTTACTTCGATTATTGTTAGAATATGCCTTAATCTTTAATAGAAAGTATAATCTTATCAGTGTAGAACATGCTAATCTTGTTAATAATATTCAGTGACATTTCATTCTGTCTTTCCCACCCCCATCTCTATGTTAAAGAACATCAGGCCAAACATCAGCAAATGCACACTCCTCTCGAAGTCATGCAGTGTTTCAGATCATCCTCCGGAGGAAAGGGAAGCTACATGGTAAATTTTCCCTAATTGACTTGGCTGGAAATGAAAGAGGAGCTGATACTTCCAGTGCAGATAGGCAAACCCGACTAGAAGGTGCTGAAATTAACAAGAGCCTTTTAGCACTCAAGGTAAAAGAAATACTTGTCACTGAAGCTAAACTTGTTGGCTTTCTACATTATATCAAATGTAAAACTTTTCAAAAAGATTTGTTTACTACATTAATGGTTTAGTATAGATGATGGTCATTCCATTTTAAATGCTTACATATAATAGCCAGTATATATTGTACATATCAACATAAGTATAAATAAGTACTGTGAATTAATTATATTTAAATCACTTCAAGTTGTACCTTCATTGCTAAGAATAGATATAAAGTTGATCCTGGACCATCTTATACAAGTTTGATTAATTATGAAACTAATTTGGTTCCTTAGTTTATAAAAAACATTGGAAAAATAGAACTTATCCATTGTTTGAAAAAAGGCTGAAAGCAAGAAAATGATGGACTATTAACCACTTGAGCTTTTATAGCAGTTGCTGGAATTAATTATTATTTTTTCTCTATAGAGAATATGTCAGTATGATTTAAAATAGTATCACTGTAACTGGAATTATTCACAAAGATTTTAATATGTATCTGTATATTTTAATGAATTCCAGTTTTAGATTGAGTTTTGGTCATATGGGCCTGTTGTGACTGTTACGTGCGAGGTTCACAAGTATAGTATTAGAAGTTTTGAATAATATAATGGGTGATAAAATGTACACAAATAAAGTGAGGGATTCTTCTGCATTAAATAATTAGCTACGTTAATTTGTTTCCAGTGGAGAGAAACAGATTTTAAGAAGGCAGGTAGAAAAGGCAGGCTATATTAATAAATATATTTAATATACTGAAATAACTGCTGAAACTTGTATATAAAGTGATTTAGATCAGGGGTTGTCAACCTTTTGGACCTCAGGGATCACCAAACTCATAATTTTAAATCCCAGGGACCACTGACCGGTTCTGTGGGTGTGGCCTAATTTGTGGGTGTGGCTTGGTGGTCATGTGACTGGCTGGGCATGGGTTGTATGTAAATATTATAAATATTTATATAAAAATTGATTTTTTTATAAAAAAAAGAGCAACTTTTACCCCAAATCAGGCAAAACAGGCAGGCAGATTGAGTTGCTCACAGAATCATTCAGTGATCTGTATCTGCCATCGGCTACCTGAGTCACAAAAAATTTGCTTGCCGTGAGTCTGCACTGAATAATAGAACCTTCAGTCTTATCAAGTCTGGACCATGATAAATGTCTATTTGAATAGAAAGTATATTGCTTAAGTTTAACATTAAAGCAAGATAAAGAAAAAGAACAAGAAAGAGCATCTTTTCAGATGATTATGCAAGGAATTCAAGATCTTAAGGTAAAAATAGATACCATTGAACAAAGAACAGGGAGGACGGAGGAAAAAGTGGAAAGTATTCAACAGATGATGACAAAATATGAGGAGAGACTTCAAAAAGTCGAAGAAGGGGGCAAACGAAGAGAGGAGAAGATTGGAAATATTGATAATAGACTAACAGTGATTGAACAAGAAAAAAGTGGGATGTTGAAGTGGGAGTTGGATAGATCAGAATTCTATCTTAGATTTCAAAATATAGAAGAAGAAAAAGGACAAGATTTGGCTGCGATAATGGTAGGAATCTTGGCGGATGCGTTGGAGATAACAGAAGAGAAGATGATGGATGGAATAGATGAGATATATCGAGTTTTTACAAGATATGCGATGAGAAATAATCTGCCCAGAGAAGTCCATATTAGATTTACTAAAAAATCCATGAAGACACAAATTTTACAAGTGGCAAGAGAGAAGATATTGAAATACAAAGGTAAAGAAATCTTGGTTTTAAAACAAATACCTAGAAGAGTGAGAGAGATGAGAAGAGAATATCGATTCCTGACCAAAATGTTATTGAAAAAGGAGGTGACTTATAGATGGCTGATCCCAGAAGGATTGATGTTTACGTGGCAGGAACAGAGGCATAGAATTGATTCAATCGAGAAAGCAGAACTGTTCTACGCAGAAGTCTTTGGAGAGAGAGAAGGAGAGGCAGAAAAGGAGGTCCCATTAACTGAATCCCAAGAGGAACAAGTGGAGATTGGAAAAGAAGAAGGTGCAGTAGGCGGACAAGTGGATATTAAAGATCAGCGTGAATCAAGACCCACGAGAGTGGTTAAATCTAAATATAAAATATAATCATGGAAGAGAAAAAACTGATTACAATGAATATAAATGGACTGAATTCAGCTGCTAAGAGAAGGAAGATTTTCCATAAATTAAAGAAACTAAAGTTTGATATAATTTGTCTACAAGAAGTACATATTAAAAAGCAACATGAACAATTGTTATTACAACCAAAATTAGGGAAATTGTTTACCTCTTTGACTCAATGTAAGAAAAGAGGGGTGGTCTTATATATTAAAGAGGTTATTCCAGCTAAAATGATTTATACAGATGATGATGGGAGAATATTAATGGTGGAAATAATGGACAATAATAGAAAGATACTTTTGATTGCAATTTATGCCTCGAATGACAAACAGGAAGAATTCTATAAAAAATTACATACCAAGATGGCTGGACTGGACTATGCTAATATAATTATGATGGGAGACTTTAATGGAATTGTGGATAATAAACTTGACTATATTGCAACAGCAGCAAAGTATAATAGAAAAACTCTTCCTAAATCCTTTTTTAAAATGACAGAGGAATTAACTCTAAAAGACATATGGAGAGAAAGAACCTTCAGTCTTAAGGGAAGTTTGGTTCTGCTTAAAAGAGCCGAAGATCTAAAGTTGGCGACCACTGATCTAGATAACATGTTTAAACAATGTCATAAAAATCACTTTCTCAAGTGTCACACGAGAATATTTTTATATCTTTGCTAGCTCATTCATATAGTATATAGATTCTTGATTAAGCTTTTAGCAACAGTAGTTTGAGATAGTGATATTAGCTATTAGCAACAGTAAAATGTTTGCATACATTGAATATCCTTAAATTTAACTATTGTTTTAGGTACTTTTAGTATATTGTAAAATATTTTTTGTTATTTCCTGATAAAAGCCAGCTATTTAAAATAAATATTGTAATTGATTAGATTCAAGCCCATGTTTCCTATTGTCATTGAAGTTGGCTCAGGTTTGGTTGTCAGATTTAATTTGTATTTTATTTTTGAGGTTGTATATGAGGTTGTTGGCATTCTTGCAAAGTTAGAAAGGCTTGGTGGATAGGATAAGATATCTCTGTGTTGGTTGGATGGATGGATGGATGAGAAGAAGAAAAAGAAAGAAAGAAAAAGAAAGAAAGAAAGAAAGAAAGAAAGAAAGAAAGAAAGAAAGAAAGAAAGAAAAAGTGATACAGATTTCCTTTTAATTTCATTTGGTAAACATTTTATATAGCAAGAAATTAATCTTGAAGAAGTGTCAGCTTTCTTTAAAAAGATATTCTGTTTGCAGAACTGTTAATAGTGCAACAGCAAATGATATGTTAAGTCTTCTTCAATTTCTGATTCAGATGATTTTAGTACTGCAGGGTGGAGTGCCCTATTGGTCACAAGGTGCAGCGGCAATTATAAGTATATGCCCATGTCTCCATGTTAGACCAGAATCGAATGGAATTTCAGTCTTAACATTTGAATGTGAATTGTACACAATCTCAATTCTATCTTTAATGTACAGTATAATATTTTCTTAATTGAAAATGTACTGTAATATTTTAAGAAGAACATTAAGGGGAACACAGCTTGTCATTCATTATTTGTTTTCAAATTTGCAATTGTTTTAAAATAAATTTTGCATTGGTTCTGAGGAAAAAGCATAAACATCTTTATCTTACAGGAGTGCATCAGAGCCTTAGGCCGAAATAAACCTCATACTCCATTTAGAGCAAGTAAACTTACTCAGGTCTTAAGAGATTCATTCATTGGAGAAAACTCTCGCACCTGTATGGTAAGTTAGGCATGTTGCAGAGTGTTTTCATTGCATGAAAGATAACTCTTGGGGATTGTATACAAATAAGTTATATATACCTGCTGGAACTCAGTAAGTTCCTGAATGGGAAGGATTTCTGCTCCTTAAACTAAAACATTGTTATTGTATGATTTATGCAGATGTTACTAGAATGCCTTTTTCCTGGCAATTTTTCTGCTATCCTATACCAGTGGTATATTAATTTATTTTAAAAAATCACTTGTTGCAAGATAATACAAATTTTTCACTTACGTTTTTAGAAAATGTAACTTTCAATCCTTTTAACCACATCTCCCATTGCTTCTTCTGTATAACAAAATTCTTAGCCTGTTTTATCATGCATTGTTTAACTTTTTCTTCTGTTTCAAATTTCAGTAAAGCTTACATTATACATTTTAGCCATCACATGTTCCTCAAAACCAAATATTCTTTAAAAAAAAAATTAATTCCAATCAATTGAAGTGTATACATTTGTTAACTTTCAAGAAAATAATTCTGGCATTTTCCCCCCTCTCAGATTGCTACTATTTCTCCAGGAATGGCATCTTGTGAAAACACTCTAAATACATTAAGATATGCAAATAGGTAAGAGGAGTATTTGTTTAAAATAATTACATAAAACCTTAATTTTGGCACTTTGCTAGCAGTATTGTTACACATATATAAATCTATGTAGTTAGAAAATTCAAATTTAACATGGAAATTAAAATAAAAGTACAGATAAATTATGAAAAAAGTTCGTTTTCATTTAACGTTTTCAAAAGAGAAGTTTAAGATTCAATCACTTTGTGTACCTTACTAAGGTGCTCAGTGTATGCTGGACTATTGACCTTTAAATTGAGGTTTCACTGTCAATGTTTAGGTTGTTTAGATGGCAACTGCTCAGGGCTCACAAACTAAGCAGGGAGTATCTAGTTGGAAGAGAACTGCCAAGGAATATCAGTCCTATGGACAGGTTAGGAAGGTTCAGGAAGAAGGTGATACAAAAGCTATTGCCAAGAAAGCTACATGGACATATGTGTGAGGTCACCAGGACTGAAGTCTGACTGAAAAGAGACTTGACTTAATGTTTAATATATAAATTTTAGTTTTCAATGAACTATGTTCCAAGCATGTGTCATTAGATAACACTGGTGGACATCTATGAATTGCATTGAATTCATTCTTTGTAATGTGTCATTATGCCCATGTTACCTAAACCAGCAATAGAGACAATGAAACCTACTTTGTTTTGGTTGATGAAGTTATACAAATGAATTTATATTCAGAGGTGTACTTATAGGCCATTACTGGGGAGGTATGATCTTTATTAGGTTCCAGACATTAACCTTTAAAATGTTCAAGTCTCCACCCATTGACTTCAATTTCCTATTAAATTTTTCTCTCTCCAAGAGGTTTACCAGAGGGTTAAGTTTAAATAGATTGTGAAGAGTTTTTTGTGCAATTGCAAACATGATTTTCATTGCTTTTACAAGAACACTTTCTTTTAATTTCTCTGCTGTATCTTGCTGCTGTAGAGTAAAGGAATTTGGAATTAGTCCTTCGGACATTCCCTTCTCACAGGGTAGTGGCAGTCGCTCTGATCTCTCTCCTTCCTATGAGTATGACGACTTTTCTCCTTCAATCACCAGGTCTACTTCATTCTTTACATGGAATGTTAATTTTAGTGGTTTATTTTTCTATTCTGATGTGTAATTTTGCAGACATACTTATACTTATTTTTTCCCTGAATCCTTTTTCTTTGGTTTTCATTCAGTTTGACAGATGGTAAAACTGCATGGCCTGCAAATCATCTTCCAAATTAGCATTTACCTGTTCCAAACATTTCATACCAAAGTTTTTTGTTTACCTCAATGTGTAAGAAGTGGTGATGTCACCTTTTTGTACTAGTAGTTCCTCATCTGAGTAATAGATGTACAATACTGATTCATTTTACATGTGGATATTTTGTGTGCATAGGTGGTGTGGGAGAGAGGTGCGAAACAACTGTATAATTCAAAGTTGTGCTTGACTGCAATTTTTTAATTTTGTAATTAATATATTGTGATTGACTCCTACTATTATAGACATACAAGCTCATGAAGTTGACATCACCACCATTTATATAAATTGCTGTGATTCATGAAATGATTTTCTCCCTGCTTAAATTCAGATTATATTAATTTTAAAATGAACATCTATCTTAAAAATGTAGAGTCAAGGAACTAACAGTTGATCCCAGTGCTGCTGGTGACGTCCGTCCTATCATGCATCATGCTCCAAATCAGATTGATGACTTGGATGCACAGTGGGGTGTTGGGAGCTCACCTCAGAGAGATGATCTTAAACTACTTTGTGAACAAAATGTGAGTAACTCAGATATCACAGTTCTGGAAATGCAAATTTTAGTTTAGTTTTGATCAAGTTATCTAAACATTAAATTATATTATTTTGTATACATTCTTCCTAATCAAGCTTAGATATTTTGAGTCCATGTGGCCAGCACAAGTTTTTTTTATATTCTCATTTGAGTTTTTTTACATACATGTAAAATACATCCAAAGTTTGTCCAGTTGTTAGGATTCAGCCTTCAGACACCTTTGCCTGGATGACTTGAGAGTCTTCATTGACACTCAAAGTCCTAAGTGTCTTTGATTAGACTATTTGGGGTAAAAAAAACCAACAACCCTATGTTGTTAAATTTGATTTTGTTCATCAGTGTATATAAAACAAACATTTGAGTTGGTAAACAAAAGAACACAGGAGCAGCATTCTAGAATCTGCTATTTTGATTATTTTTGTTCACCCATTCACTCTAACATGGAAGTATTGATGGAGCCAGCATAAAAAAATAATCTATTCTTCAGGTAGGAATGTATGAGCAAATGAACCTGGAAGGAAATCTCCCTTGAGTTTTGAGTCCTGTTTTTTAGAGAAGAGCATTGGTGCCAGATTCATGATGTAAAGTTAGTGAAAGAAGAAAACGGTACAAGATAATGATCAGCTGGATCCTGCAGAATTCCAGTGATAGGAAAGAAGGAACTTCCTCTCACCATATTTTATAGCTTACTAAGCAGGGAGTGGGCGAGAATCTCCAACACCAACACAATCTCCTCTCACACGACAATTTCATTGCTTAATGAAGCAATTGTTGTTTCTCATTGTTTCTTTAGAATATTCTTTTTCACAATTCTTTTTTTTTTTTTACAATTAAAGTATTTCAAAAAATTGGACTGGATTTCTTGTTGTGGAATGCAGAGACCCAGAAAAAATGGAAAGAAATCTGAACATTATCAGAGTGGACTTTTTCCTCCAAAAATTGAAAACAAATGGTTATAAAGTATTACTCTTTTTTAAAAATGATAATTGAGTTGTGAAATAAACTGATCTCCACGTGGAAATCATTGATCAATTTAAGAACTAAGCCAACAAGGGAAAAAATGGAAAAAATTTGCTTCGGTCAAACAAATCTTCCTTTTCACGAGCCCATGAAACTGATCAAATGATCAAATAAGATATTGAGAGAAAAGCTGATAGAGGTAGAAGTTTTAAATTCAGGAAATGAAGTTGATTGAACAGTTTTTCATATTGCAAAATGTATGTTCTTAGTCTTCCTTTATATTTCTTTCAGAAAACATCTGCTTTTTGATACAATAAAGAATATTTAGACATATTGGTTTTAGTTCAAAGGTGATTATTTACTGTTTCCAATTTCTATGTGCTCTAAACAGACTAAAATGAAGGCAAATTCCTTAAGAGTCAACTACTCATAGCTCTTGTTTAAAACAGTGTTTTAAAAATCTTTCAAGCAATACTTTTACAAATATTAACTAAAACATCACTTTTTAATGATATAGATCAATTATACCTTTATAAACCAGTCAAGCTGTACATAAGGTATTTAATTACATTGAGACTTACATCTCAAATCTTGCCTCAGAAAAATCCATTTAAGTTTGCAGTATTTGATTGACACTGGATATATTAAAGGAAGTGCAAAATTACTGCGGTTACTCCTTGATGTTTATTCTATATGTTGGTTATCTGTACCACCAAGCAATAGTTGACAAATTATTACATGATCGGTTTATCATTATATAACTTCAGGTTGATAAAAGGGTAAGTGTATTTCAAAATATACTCAGCCATTTCTTCAAAATGTTGTTTCCTTTGCTTTCCATTTTGAAACTCATTACAGTGGCGTTTATTTCTTAAAGGAGGAAGAAGTTTCACCACAGTTATTCACTTTTCATGAAGCAGTGTCACAGATGGTGGAAATGGAAGAGCAAGTAGTAGAAGACCACAGAGCTGTCTTCCAGGTAAAAGTTATATGGGAGATTGCACAATATAAAATAAGAATCTCATGCACTAACTTTGTGCAAAGATGAGAAGTGTGATAGTGGAACTGAATTGCCTTATGGTTGGTGTAGTAGAGTGCATGCCCCTGCCAATTTGGTGAGAAGGAAGTGGTTGGAATGGGATGTATGTCAGGTTTGGGATACTGTCTGAGTGCTTAATACAGTAGCACCTCAAAAATCCAGTGGGATTGCTTTCTAAATAAACAATTTCACCATCCTAGAATGTCAGTTATTGTTGAAGTGATGGAACTTTTAGAAATAACTAATGAAAGAGCATATGGATGTAAAATTCATTGGCATGGTTGTCTCCTCAACAATGTTAAAATGTATTTTGAAGTCTCACCTGAAATATTTGAAAACTAGATCTGAACTATAAACATTTTTTCTTTTTACATTTGTATGCAGTTTCCAACTGGTTTTTATCATAGTTGTTTGCAAAGCAAGAATTGTTTGATTTGCCAGTTCTTGTTTAAATAACTGTGAAACGTATTGCATATTTTTAAATGGGCAAACTATTTTCAGTATTTGGTAATTGCAAAGAAAGTTGGCAGTAGGATTATTTCTTTATCCAAGTTAGACTTAGATACTTGATTTGGCTTTTTCAAACAGTTATAAAGTTTTTGTGACGTAAGGGGAAGCTTGGCATTATAAAGGATTATAGATTTAAAAATTACTATATAGATTTTTTTTGGTTTTAATTTGAGATATATGAACCAAATAAAGTACATGTAGTCCTCAACTTGTAGCAGTTTGTTTAGTGATTAAAGTTATAACAGCACTGAAAAATGTGACTTAATGACAGTTTTTCTCACTTATGACTATTACAGTATCCCCATGTCACTTGATCAAAATTCAGGTGCTTGGCAACTGACTCATATTTATGACCTCTGCAATGTACTGAGATTATGTGATCACCTTTGCGACCTGACAAGCAAAATCAATGGGGAGACCAGATTCACTTAACAACCATATCACTAACTTAACTGTAGTGATTCACTTAACAACTATGGCAAGAAATGATGAAAAATGGGGCAAAACTCACTTAACAAATGTCCACTTAGCTACAAAAATGTCCGTCTCTATTATGGTCATAAATTGAAGATTATTTTAGATGGAATTACATCATTTTTCTTTATTACTTTTTATGAGCTTAATATCACAAAGCTAAGATTATTTTTGGCCATTTCTTCTGTTGTTTAAGAATATGTTTTTAAAAAGAATACTGGAACCTTAAAAATCATTTTTGAGATGATTAGTTTGATATCATTTAAATTGATTTAAAATTCTCTGAGAATTTTAATTATCTTCTTCAAAACAAATCTGGTAATTTAAGAGAGATGATAATCCATTTCAGTTTATAACTGATAATTCTTTTCCTTGATCCAATTATTGTGTTTCTCTCTTTTCTTTGATGCTTTTAGGAATCAATTAGATGGTTAGAAGATGAAAAAGCACTCCTGGAAATGACAGAAGAAGTAGACTATGATGTAGATTCATATGCTACACAACTTGAAGCAATTCTAGAACAAAAAATTTACATTTTGACGGAACTTCGAGGTAGAGGCTTTTATCTTTTTTGGAATGCTTTTTGTGTATATGAGAATATTACTAGATTAACAGCTACATTGTTGTTAATTACATTGTTTTAGAATTTAGGTAGTAATTGTGAAAAGACTCCTTCCTTTTTCTCAGCAGAACAAAAATTAGGAAAATTTTATTAGGATCAATAGATCAATAAACATACATGTAAATGGAATTCTAGATAGTACACAAGGTTTTTTCAGTTGAAATCATAGTAGCATAATATCTCATTTTGGTTATTGAAGATTAGAGGATAACATACAAACACATACCATGTTAGTGGTACATAGTACCAATTTTTATCTGTCTCTATATGCCAAATTTATTATTACAATTTCAGTGAACGCATATTTGTTCCTGTTTCACTTTTTTTTTCAAACAATACAACTATTGAAAGTAATGCAAACTTTCTCATGAAATTCTTCAAGGAAAACATAAAATGCCTGTCAAGCTACAGACACTTGAATGTTATTATTCTGAAAAGTCTTCTGCAAATTTCTGAACTTGGCAGGTATACAGTAAGAAATAGGCCACTTAGAGGTAAAGCCAACATTGTGAGCTTAGAAATAATCAGAATGTTACATGATCTTGTAGCAGAGTGGCTGACTTTGAAAGATGGAAGGTTGGCAGTCTCACATCACCTCTCTCAGAAGTCTTTTTGGGGAGGGGGGGCTGCCCCCACCTTCAGTCCCACTCATCTTCAAGAGGCACTTCACCTAGCATCCTCAACCCTAGTTTGTGAAACGCCCCTCGCAATCTTTCTGACAATTAAAAGATTAAGCCTATTTTCTATAATGTAATTTCCTGACTGTGTTGCTTAGAAATATGTGGTTAAAGGTTTCAGCCCTTCCTCCCTAGGTCAATCTCTACTAGAAATAAGCAAAAGCAAACTTTATTTAAAAATAAAGGGAAAAAAGTTGTCTGAAATAAGGCAAACTACAAAAGGACACTGGTCTGTGAGAAACAGGCCTGCCCCACTTCAAAGCATAAATAAGTTATGCTTTATAATGCAAGATTCTGCTGAAATGGCATAACCTCATGCATACATTTGTCTTAATTTGTTCAGAAAAAAAAAGACTTTTGTGCAGGGCAGCAATACAAAGATTAACATTGCCAAACATTCCTTGTTAAATGTTTTTACCTACTTTTCTGTGGATAGCAGTTTTCCTGATTTCTGAACTTTAAGCTTCCTGGTATAGTAGGTTAATTCTGAGGTTGCTGGAGAGATTCAAAGAACTCCAGTACTCCTCTCAGCTTCTCTGTTCAGCTTCTCCCTTTTATTCCTCCAGTTCCATCTTTGAAGCTTCCCTTTTACTTTAAAACAGATTCAAACTTTCTGTATCAAAAAGGGAGAAGTTGGGATATCTTTCTGTAATTTGTAGCCTGCCACATGTATAGACAACATAGGAGGGTAGTAATCCTAACACATCTTAACAGTTGTGGAAAACTGATCCACTATCATTTACAGCAAGCCTTAGGTTCCTACAATTCTCGTTCATCTTGTGTTTCATGTAGAAGACTTTGCTTCCATTTATATTACTTCCAACTATACCATATGAAGAAGGTATGTTTAGGTACCCTTTTGGAGTTGCAGGTAAGCTATGGTTTGATTTATTTAGAACAGGAGCAGAAGCTTTCAGTTTTCTCTTTGTGGCCATCCTGGTGGAGGAATAGAGAGGAGGTGAGTCTAGGGGTCCCAGCAGCCTTCAGGTTCTCCTTTAAGCTAGTTTAAAGATTATATCCAAATGAAGTTGTTGCCTCATGAATTGGGCATAGGAAACCCATTGAAATTATTTTATAGAACTTTCCCTTTTTTGTTACTTTTTAGATAAAGTGAAGTCCTTTCGCACAGCACTACAAGAAGAAGAACAGGCTAGTAAACAAATCAATCCGAAGAGACCACGTGCCCTTTGAGGCAAACTTCTGCTGCTAAAAGATGCCTGAATCTTCATTGCTATACCACGCAGCTGGTTGGAAATGAAGTAGTAAGAAGTCTCATCTACTTGAAAGATCTAAAACTTTTGAAGTGTCTGTAGAAATGTTCCATTTCTTCCTCCCCCAGCCAACATTTCAGTTGTGTGGAACGCTCCTTAATGTCTGGAAAATGCATCTAGACCAGATAGCACAGCCAGGCAGGTTTGGGAGCTGGGAAGCACTTTTGTTTCAAATGTTTTAACGTACTCAAAATTGTGAATCTTTTTATGTTTTGGAAATCTTTGCCAATTTTTTTTTTAAATAATGAAGTACAATGGTGGACTTGTAAAAACTTCACAGAATTTTGTTTCATTTAGTCAAATTGTTGCAAAGAACAGCTGTGCAGTTTTGTATTTGTATGCATGCCCACCTCATCAGTGATTGTATATACCTCTTCTTCTAAACAGCTGTGCTTACCTCTACGTGTTTTGTGCCTTGATCAAGGCAACCTGATCTTAAATGTCCTCTCTAAAGCACAGCCTTAATAAATGCCACTCTTTATTTGTCAATGTAAATTACTTTTACTATTTGTACATTTTAATGTGTGTTGTTTTGTTTTTCTTTTTGTGACTAGTTCTTCATTTCATAGTTATGTGCCATATCATTGATCTGGAATTAAAAACTGTCAGTGTGGATTGACAGTGAGCCATTTCATTTTTTTTCTCTGTATAAATCGGGAATCATGGTTTCTTTCAATGCCATAAAGAGTGAATCTAACATCTTCTTTGTAAAGAACAAAGCTATAAATTAGTGAATATGTAATAAAATGGTTCTGGATTATGAAGGAGAGTTATATCTAGAGTAGTGAAGATTTACAATATGTGTCCTAGAGGGTTGTCCAAGTAAAAATGCAACCTGATCTCTACATAAGAATAGAAGAGGTATCCAAAAATAGGATATCAAAATAACCCTTTCTCTTCCTATTAAAATTGGCTTTTTGATGCATGACAGTTTACATGTGCATTAATTGTAGTTTGCAAGTAGTTAGTACTGTTGCTTTAAAAGAAAGTAGCTAATATGTATCTTCCAGTTGTACAGTGCCATCACTTGAAAAGTGGAGTGAATTAGTATCTTTTGAGGATTGGCACAATATATACTCCACATGCTGAAAAATATTCCATGAAGCCTAAAGCCTTCATAAATGGCACTGTGTGTCCAGCACTTTTAAGGTGGTGGCACTAATTTTTTCCAAATTGCTGTCTAAAAGAATTACCTTTTTATGTCTTTTCTTTAAAGTCAGATTTGTTCAGGACTCTCTAGGAGTTAGCTCTGTTCCCAAGATATATATTCCAGGCACTCACTTCAGCAACAAACATTACTTGAAACTGTTTCATGTTTTGTTTCTGGAACATAATCCATCTGTGCTGTGACTGAGGGAAATACAGGGAAAGCAATGACAAGAGAGTGTAAATAAGCCAATGTTTTCAGTATTTAAGATAATTCCCATAAGAAGGTAGGCTGTGGAAATCCCTTGCCATTATCTTGATGACAAAGCACCTGTAAACATGAAACTGAAATAGCAATGTAGATTTTACACAATTGTGTTTAATAAATTTAATTATGAAATATAAATTAGAAATGAGAATTTTGCTTCTATAAAAGAACTATAAGTCTCAGACTGAGAATTGGTACACCTTTTTTCTAATAAGAATTGGCCGTTTGCTGAGTGAAGTATTATGTTTTCTTGACAGCTATTGACGTTGGTGGAAATATATTTATAGACCAGTTAACAACCCATGTTCTATTTTTGACATAGAATTTATTCTATGGTAGAGAATAAGGAATATTTGAACTAATTTTGGCTGAAGTATACATCAAGCAGGAAGGTAAAACTGATATACTTAAAAATGTGTGGTTGTTTGCTAGATCCTTCCTAAGCTTTTGATTTTGTCATCTGTGTGAAAATGCAAAGTCTTCTGTATGATATCCTTTCTGGAGGGCACATCATAAGGACTATGAGAAGACTTTTTAATCATACGTAAGGACATTGAGTTTTCTTTTGTAAGCTAAGTAATGTCTATTTGATTCACCAGAAAAGAAAATGACATTCTTATCCCAAGGTTAGATGAGGGGGGAAATCTCAATTGCTATAGCTTATGCAAATTTAAGTTGATCTCTGTTTTAAAGGCAATTTGCAGAAAAATCTGGTCTTTCAGGGAAAAATAGTATCACAATAAGAGAGAAGGGTATCCTTGTGGAAGCTATTTCAGAATACCTTTCTAGAAGTTACACTTACAAAAAAAAGCAGTTCAGGTTGTAGACATGGAAAGTAGTAAAATAAGGCTGTAGTATTGTCCTGTTAGCTGCATGGTTAATTATTTCAAGACAAATTCCACCCCTCCCTCAAATATTAATGGTAGGCATATAGCATATTGCATGCAGATGATGCTGAGATCTGTTACTACTGCTGACAACAGTGAAAGCACTTTGATCTTTTTCTTCTGCAAGGAACACCAGTTACACTTAAACTATACATAATAAAGGCCAGAATAATTAACAGAATTACTAATAGGTATAAGTTTGAACAGGTGGCTAAATTTTTTTACGATGGATCCAGTCACCTGAGAATTGGAAAGCCTACCTTTTACATGTAGCTTAAATACAGTAGTTCAAGGAAGCATTTCAGGTTTTTAAAAATCCTTTTCCATATGAAGGAAGCATGTTATGTTCTAGCTTGGATGGGACTGACTGTGTATGAGGAAACTTCCAAGAATTGAGTTGTGAGTCCAATGCATTCCATTTATTGGTGGGCCTAATAAGGTTGAAATTGGACTGTGGATGACTGCATTCAATGTTTCACTAAAAGTGAATTCATCACTCCAAGGTCTGAACCAATTAGCAGATTCTTTCTATGCTCCTTGGAAACTAAAGGTAGAGCAGAAACTGCAGCAGTGTATATTTCCTCTCAGTTGCTGAAAAAATGGGATATGACTAAGCTGGAAAAACATCAAATCAGTCTTACACATAATAAGCATGCAAGAAGGTAAGTATATTGTTTGCTAGCATGGTTACACAATCCCCACTTGGCTCAACATGGTAAATTTACCTCAAAAGTACCATAGTATCAACCTTTGTGTGTGTTAATACTCTCTTTCAATAATTCTTTGAGAGAGATAAAAGTATAATGTTCCTTGGAAGCTTCTGCCCATAAGAAGCTGATGAATTTGGAAGCCCAGGCCTTTATTCTGCTTCCTTCATAAAGGAACCAACTCAAAAGAATATAAGAAAATAAAATGGTTCAAATTGCAGCAACCTGCTTGTTGCTTGGCACTTCTTGCTGCAATCCTGTGTAACTCTTTGAAAGGCCTATGTTGGTTACCAATAGTTTCCAGATTAAATTTACAGTGCTGGCTTTTATGGCTAAAATTATATGGTTTGTCAACAAGGTAGAATCATAGGCTGGAAAAGATCTTAAAGAAATCTAGTTCAACCTCCTGCCCAAACTATATATTTATTTACATTTATGAATTGCTCAGACGTGTGTTTTTTTTTAAACTGAATGTTAGGTAAAAGTTGTTTGCATAATTAATACAGAATGGAAAAAAGGAAACGTTAACTTTCTTTTCCAAATGACTGAATGTAGACTAACAAACTGAGCTTAGCATAATCAATATCTAGATGTGTTGTCAATTATCCTGATTATATTGCTGCATTGTGATTAGTGATGTCATCTGTTTAATAATTTAAGTTATAAAAAGTTTAGCTACATAGTATCTTAATAATGGGGTAAGAGTGTTGCATGTAGTTTAAGAATTAGAGACTTTGCTCTTTTAAGAGAAGTCTAATTTTATAAACCGAGCAGAACAAGGTATAGATTACTATTTGCTGCGCTCATTTGTAGAATTTTGATGTAGTAGTTAAGGCCTCAGATTAGAAACCACCAGGTGACCGTGAGTCCTAGTCCTGCCTCAATGACCTTGAGCTTGTCAGTGCTCTCAGCCTAGGAAGGAGGCAATACCAAACCCACTTCCAATAACTTTGCCGAGAATAATCCATAGACTAGTCCGGGGAATTGCCAGGAATAAACAGATAGGAAGACACACATGAATATATGCATGTGCGCACACACATACACACACAAATATTCAACCATGACATGAAATAGAGAGTATGGAGAAAATTATTATTGTACAATATTAAAGACTACATTGCAGTCTTGTAAATAAAGGTATGACTAGAAGTAATCCCTTTGATAGAAAATAATTATTGCAATACACAATGTAAAGAACATTTGGCCATTAAAAAAGACAGAGAATGTCAACTCTGAGAGTAGACAAAATCCTAACTTCCGTATCAGTTACGCATTTTTAAAAAATGAATAACAATATCAATACTTTGCTTGGAATATTAAGCACACTGGGAGAGGCTAGATGCTCTGGGATGCATTTCCAGATGCTTTTAATAATATTTATAAACGGATACGTTCTTCACCAAATAAAATCAAAAGAAGCAGAAACTGGATAACAACCAGTTGATGGTTGGTTGACATTCATTGTGAATATATTCTACTATAACATTTATTTATATAAATTAGTTCAATCTTCACAGCAGCTTTCCTGTAATCCCTTCAGGAAAAGTGAATCCCTTTTGCGTTGAAGCCATGAAGAACACTGAAAAATGAAAATATTCTAGTGTTAGTAAGCTTTAGATGGCATAATGGATGTTACTTCCAAATGGACACCATTTTTAATCTTCCACGCAGGAAGAACAATGTTTTTTTGTACATGTGGGAGATGACCAGGCAGAGTCCAATGGAAGGGTTGAGTGTGTCATCAGTCTAGAGATTGTTAGCATGCAATAAAAAATGATATTCATTTGAACCGCCTTGACTACTGATTTCCTGCACTTGACATTACACTTCATCTTGAAGCTAATTTTATTATATTGACTAGTTTCTTCCACTCAGATAATCTTCACAACTTTGCTTTTACCATGGCACATTCTTTTCCTACAGTTTTGTTCAGGGCAAAATCATTCGATAGAACCATTAGTGCCACTATATAAAGTGCAATATTAAGTAACAGCTGTTATTCCAGTAAATTCTCTATTTAAACTATGAAATAGAGTTATCTTGAAGTAAATTTGTTTTACCTTATAAAATCATCAATATCCATTACTCGGGCACGTTTTTCTGAATAGCCGGTATCTTTTAGGATTTCATGTGTAAGTTCAGCAATATTGAAATTTTCAGGAATTTGCTGTTGGCAAAATAGAAAAATATGTGACATGGTTCAAGACAAAGATGCTTTATAAAAGATTGTAAATAGATCAGAAAGATTTACCAAATTATTTTGTGAACAGTGAATTCTGTAATTCTGTTCGAGCAACTGTTTCACAGCATTTGAACTGCAATAATGAAAAAAGGAAAATCAGTTATAGAATTTTTTTTTTTTTGAAAAGTTTGAATTGTAAATTGTTCCTTTGCAAATGTCTTTCAGCTGATTATTTCTTTAACATTAGTTTGCACCAACATCTCTTAAGAGTTCTTACAAACTGACCTTACAAACTGACCTTCTTATACCATGTCCAAATAAAGCTTCATACTTTGTTTTTTGATACTTCACACTAACTGCTCACATTATTCTATGCAAGTGAGGTGTCTAAATCTTATAGACTATTGAATTTAACATATCTGCATCCCATCAATGGGAATACACATTCAATGAAATGATACACACTGTTGTGGTTTACTGGCAGCAGGTGTGGGCAGTTGAGGTCTCTGAGAGCGAGGACTCGGGTGAGGGGCCTGCGTGTGATGCAGGGAGGTGCTGCCTTTGGAGTTTGTGGAGTCTGGCAGCAGTGATGCAGAGGACCCTGAGGAGCCTGTGCCCAGTGTGTGCAGGGCTGCTCGAAGGAAAGAGCAGTTGGAGCAGCACAGGTGATTCAGAAGTAAGGCTGCAAGATGATGGCCTCTCCCTTAAGGGATAAAAGCCAGCCCTCAGAGATGGGATTCTTTGCAGGAAGCAAAGAAGTTCTTGCACTTCAAGTCCTTGAAGTTCGGCCTATCCTGGTTTGTTTTCGGAGACTTTTGGCTTTGAATATTTCCTTGCACTTAATTTTGTGTTCTTGCACAACCTTGACAGGGCTTGCTCTTATCTGGGACAATTAGTTTTAATAGCGCTTTGCTGTGAATGAACAGAATTTATAGAGATGCATTAAAATGGTTCTGCTTTTATGTTTTGTGTTTGTTTGATTTGAACGAGGCTTGGGTCAGAACACACACTTAGAATGCTTTGAGTAACAAAAAGAAAAAGGCCTTCTGAGTCTCTTTCTCAAGAATGTCCAGACAAAACTGGGTATAAATCAAATCAACCACATTCTTCTATTCTCTGCTCTTGGTTAACAGCCAACACAAAATCTAAGAAATATACACTTTTGTCTAGTATTCATATAGAAATACACACTTTTAAGATTTCTGTGGTCCAAAAAACAATATTTCATCAACTTCTATCTTTTAGCAACAAAAATTACAAGCAAAACATTGAAGGGAGAATCAACAATCTCAGGAAAGTTCCAATGACAAAGCTGCAAGCAATTCAACATTTAAAAAATGTAACTTACTTGAAAATGGCAGCAAGTGTCTTGTTCTTTCTGACAAACACTATCCTCAGGAGACCATCCCACTCCTAAACATTAGAGATTAAACACAAAGTTTCTTGTGTCACACATGAAGGCTGCTTTCTGTTGGTCACTATTAAGGTAACCTCTAACATCTTTCATCATCTTCCCTCTTTTTTCATTTGTACTTTAATCTTAGCTCAGAATGTGTTCTATGATTGGTATTCATGGAAAGCGTGATAAGGATAATTGGATAAATTAAACAGTTTAAACTTTCCTTAAGATATAAATCATTTTGATTAAGAGCAGGTTTATTTTACTCATATCGTTGACTATATTCTTTCCTCATATTCTTCACCAATAGGTAATATTTTGATTTCCTGAAGCTATCTCCTCCAAATGAAGCTATGAATGCTTCCACATCCTATATACTTAGTTATCATTTAATGCTGTTAGTGAATAACAAAATATGAAGCATTAGAAAAACTTCACACAAAATATGGCACTCAAGCATAGTTGTCCAAACCTCCAAAGATAATGTACATATAAGGGATCCTAAGCTGTTTTCATGGATTTCAGATCATACTGATAAATCTCACCTGAAAGTTAATTGGAGGCGGAGGGTTCTTTGGTTCTATCCTTACAACACTGGATTCAACTTTGGGTGGTGGTTTAAAATTATTTTTTCCTACCTGTTAAACATAATAAAGTCAAGTGTGAAAGAAAGAATAACTTTATCTTTCTATTTTTAATTCATTTTGTTGTAATTTCTTTGAGTGTTGTGAACTACCAAGTCATTTAATAATAAAACAAATAAAAACCTATCTTCAATCTATTACAACTTCACAATTTTATACCCCTCCTGTCTATTATCTAAAATTTCAAAAACTCAGGATAAAATTACTTATTGTTTTGCTTACTTTCATTAGATGATCAACACGAGCTAACAGCTGAGTATTAACAGATAGCCTACAATATAGGTGAGAGCCTGGTTTTGCAACTAGGCGAAGAGCAAATTCTCTTTGAAACATGAGTACTGCACACCTGGAAAATAAACATTGGATGCAAGTTTAATATCACTCTGAATTAGCCCTATCCTGGAAAAGATTAAGAACTTGATATTTGTTCGGCTATGTTGATACAAATATACTACTGTCTGATAGGTTTTGAACCAGATTAATGTTTTGAACTCCATGAATATCCAGTAGATACTCTAGGCTAGGTTAAATCATGCATCACTACTGGGTAGCTTAGTAAATGAAATTGAAAATATTGTGAGGACTTAGATGTTAAATGCAGTACGAGTATTATTATTGTAGGAAGATTTCAAATAGTTTAAATCACACAATGCTCCTGAAATAAAAAGTTGTTCTTAAAAGGTAAGAGAGGATTGATGTTTATAAATCATAGATTGATAAACAACATAGTTTGCTTCAACCCCTTCCAGATGAATATTTCTTTAAACTTATCTGACAATATTTATAGGCATTTCAGAGTTTGTGTAGGGACCCTCTAACAACGGTTTTAGAGAGATAGCCAGTTTGGTGTGGTGGTGTGAGTCAAGCAAAATATTTCCACTGAAAAGTAGATATATAGCAGCAGTCAGATAATCAGAGTTGGAAGGGACCTTGTATGTCATCTAGTCCAACCCCCCGCCCAGGCAGGAGACCCTACACCATTTCCAACAAATGGCAGTCTAATCTCTTCTTGAAAGTCTCAAGTGATGGTGTCCCACAACTTCCAAGGGCAAGCTGTTCCACTGGTTGATTGTTCTGTCAGAAAGTTTTTCCTTATTTTCAGGTTAAATCTCTCCCTGTTCAGTTTCCATCCATTATTCCTTGTCTGGCCTACAGATGCTTTAGAAAATAGATTGACCCCTTTCTCTCTGTGACAGCCCCTCAAATATTGGAAGACCGCTATCGTGTCTCCCCTCGTCCTTCTCTTCACTAGACTAGCCCAATTCCTGTAACTGTTTTTCATATGTTTTAGTCTCCAGTCCCCTAATCATCCTGGTTGTTCTTCTCTGTACTTTTTCTAGAGTCTCAACATCTTGGTCCCCAAACTTTTGGACGCCAAGGACCAGTTCCATGGAGAGAGGTTTTCCTGCGGACCGGACTGTGGCTTTGTGTGTTTCCTGCATCCCACAAGATGGGACTTTGCTTGTTTCCATACCCCAGGGGTCCCCCCCCCCAATATATAGAACTTGATTTCTTCAAAATTTAGTTTGACACAGTGCTAAGTCTTTTCTAGATAAATGTGCTAATTTTAATCTGTAGGTTTAATCATAGTAATATTTGGATAATTGGATATTATTTCTAAAAGCACCTAAACTATATTAAATACTGAATATTTTTCTACATACCTAAAGAAAGGCCGATGCAGCAATAGCTTAAAAACAAAAGGAGAAGAAATCTGGGGGTGGAGAGATTAAAAAAAAAAATTGATTACTACAAGAGTAATACAAAAAGACAATGTCTTATTTTTCAAGTCTTGTTTTATACTTACTTGGTATGGCAAATTAGCCACACAAGCATCAAAAAAAGGAAGGTCACTTTTCAATACATCTCCAATTTTTATTTCAAGTTTGTTAGCCAAATGTCTGAAATGAAAATAACACTGTATCATTAATATATTTCCAAGAGAGGTTCTAGTTTAAAAAACACCGTGACTTTGCTATCACACAGAGCACTTACGTTCCCTGGACTCTTTTCTGAAGTTCACCAGCAAGCTTTACATCAAGTTCACAAGCAATTACCTGAAAGAGAATCATATATAAAATGTTGTTGTGGACATATCATATATAACAAATCCCAAAATTACTTTATGTTGTTATAGAATTTTAAACAAATTTCTGATTTAGCTGTAAATATTAAGGTTCTTTCTTTAAACTTTGTAGTTGGATACCGATTTTCCTCATACATTAGCTATCCCAAGGGTGCTTTTTTTTCCAAAAAGCAACTAGACTTTCCTGTTTTTTTTCTTTGAAAATGTTTCATTTCTCATCCAAGAAGCTTCTTCCATTCTAACTGACTGGTGGCAAATAAGTTTATATTCTTTGCAGTCATTAGTCATTAGCGCTCTTACAGTTATCCTTAACCCTCTGAGAGTCACTGAGGCATTTAGGGCTTATCTGTATCCTCAGAATCACCTGAACCAAGGTGTAAATGAGTGTGGAACCTTCTTGGAACTGTTGCATTGTAAACAGGAGATAGGAAGTGTTGTATCCCTCCCCCTCTGTTGAAGGAGGGTTGAATGGGGAGGGATACAATATAGGCTGTTGTTAGGCTTTGATTCTTTCCTTTTAGTTCTTCTTTTACATGATCAATCAATTTTTGTTTGATTATCTTTTCCTATTTTGTGCTATCTCCTTGTGATCAAACAGGGAAAGAAAAGCATTTCTTTATTTTTAGATTTACCTTTTTCACCTTTTCTAACATTTTCACTGTCATGTTGCCAGTTCCAGGACCCACTTCTAAAACAACATCTGTAGGGTATAAGGAAGCCTAAAGAATGAATAAAATATTATTACCTAGGCTTGTTAGCAATGCATATAGACAAATTTAATTGATATACAACATAATGTACAGGGGAAAGGGAATGGTCTTGTGGGACAGGAGGAGAGCCACACCAAAGCAATGGTCGGATAAAGAAGTTATGTCCAGAGCAAGAATGTAGCATGAATAAACATCTCAGATAGGATCCTCCCTAGTTCTTCTGAAGGGAAAGGAGAGGAATGCATTCAGACTTGCAAGATTCTGTTATTGTAGTTTCAGAAAATAATACTGATTTACATGACACTGGTTTCCTAGTGTGGCCTACTTGGAAAGGCCGAGATACATCGAGAAATTACTTACTAAAGCAGAATTCTATCAAGTCAAAAAGGTCCCTCTATTAAATGTGTACAAAGTATTTAACTTAATTTTTCTCTGATGTATCATCTGAGTACCAGATACAACCATTCTGATACTTTTTATATTTCTTTAAAAGGTACAAGGAAATTTGTATTGTGTACAGGTATAGTTGAACTTTTTTTTTCAAAATTTCATATTTTATTTCTTAAGTATTTTATAAAATTCTGTTTAGTGAGAAACAGATCTTTTGATTTCAATGAGACTTTCTAACTAAATAGGTATACATTAGTAGCTTCAAATACCACTAGTTTAATAATAATGTGTGAGAATAACTGATTTTCTTACACTGGATGATTGTGATTATCACTTACCTTTTCTATAATGGTGTTAACAATCAGGGGATTTTTCAAAATATGCTGACCAAGTCCAGTATTGAACCTAATGCCAACTAATAAAAATAAATTTTAAGATGCATACTGATAATGAGTCATTTTGTATCAAACTCTCCTTAGTTTTGTATCAAACTTGCCAATAGTTTTTTTTATATAAGTCTTAAATCATGGGATTATTTCTAATAATTTACTCAATTCAGAATTTGGCACCCTTGTCAGAGAAAGTAGCATCAGAACAACAAGATATGATTGAAGTTCCCAAGCTTTATCTTTAAATCTAGTTTTTAAAAATATTTTCTCACTCTTCCTTATAAATTTCTTCCAGCTCAGAAATATGCTTCCACATTGCACTGCTTGTGGATTGCACATTAGAAATCTTTCTACAAATTTTAAATCATGCTCAGATTAAGTGACTGTCTTGTTGTAATAGCCAATCTCTTTTCAAATTCTCTGGAATATTAGCTTTTAATATATATTAATATTGAGTTGAATGTGTTATTCCTTCCACCTGCTTTCTGAACTACTTACTGACTGTTTGCTATCCCTAAAAGAACACCTCCATATTTAGTGGTCTGCAATGCTCTTTCTTCAAAAGCTTTTCTATTCCTTCTCTAAATGTAGCTTACCTGGTTCTGGTCAAATTTGTTCAATTTTTGTTTCCTCACTTGAAGCACAAGATTCTGTTTTGCATATTTTTAGATTATGATTTTTGGGGGGCGATGAGGTCAGAGGAAATTTCCTGATTAAATTCCCCATGAAAAAAATCACTGTTCTTCTATAACCAAGGCTTTTATTATGGATAACCACTCCAGAGCCAGCTAAACTTTTCAGCTGCTGAATCATGGGTTCTGCTTTGCAGACCTGACCAATTTGGGGAAGTTCTACCAGACATTCCCCGCCCCCACCGCCCTTGATCTTTAAACTAATATCCGAAGAGGAAACTAGCTGAAAAGAGGCTCGATATGGAGTCATCACCATTACGAGGACTCCACAGTTCAGCCCTGAGCCATATGTGTGTGTGTGTCTGTGTGTGTACATACATACATACATACTCATTGCAGAATACCTTATGCCACCAGACTTGAAATTCTAGACCTAGCAAACCCTGAATTACTCCATCTTTGGTCCGATCTAAGTATAGTATATAAAATCATACATTGCAAAGTCCTACCTGTCAATGAATACTTCAGGTTGAACCATAACAATACAAGAGCACACAATAGATACAAACTCAAGGTTAATCACACCAAATTTGATTGCAGGAAATATGACTTGAGCAACAGAGTGGTCAATGTCTGGAATACTCTACCTGACTCTGTGGTTTCTTCCCCAAACACTTTAATCTTAGACTGTCTACTATTGACTTTCCTAAGAGGTTTGTAGGGGGCGTGCATAAGCGCACCAACGTGCCTACCGTCCCTGTCCTATTGTTTCTTTTCGTTTTTCTTATATGTACCCATTTCATGGATTCATAACTATGTTTATACTTATACCTGTTATCTTATAATCGCTTGACAAATAAATAAAACATACATACATACACACACACACACACACACATACATATATTCTCTTTCTATTAGAATCTGGATACTTCTGGGGGAAGATTCGAAATCACTTCTATAGCGAAGCCAAAGTACTCGGTACCCTCCAAATTACTATCACCATAGCGCCCCCTCCCCCGCCTGTGTAGTAAATGATACAAAGCTGCAGTCCGTTGCAGCCTGACCTCCCTCGCCCGAGAACTTCCTCTCACCAGGGCCTTTCCCTTTCCTTTCTCCACGGGGCGGTCGGGACCGCGGCTTCGTCTTCACCTTCGGCATGGCTCTGCCGGGCCTCCAGCATGCGAAGCTCGGAAGAGGAAGGCGAAGTGGGTGGAGGGGAGGGAGGGCGGGTTGGTCATCGCACGCGCGGGGGCTGCCGGGACGAGTAGTTCCGCCGTTCCTTCGGAAGCGAAAGCGGCGAAAGCGCGGGAGGACCCAATTTTCCGCAAAGCACCTGGCCTCAAGGTACGAATCAGAGTAGTGAGTTTCGGGAAGTGTTTTAAGTACTCTGCGAAGGGGAATTGAGAAACGCCGTTGGTGTTGGTCCTTATAAAACTAAGGGTCATTCTTGGCAAAGAAGAATCGGGAGGGAAGGAGATTGACAGCCACACACACACACAAAAAGGTGAAAGCTGCGTTCTTCTCCCACATTTCCAACAAAACGAAACAAAAGTTCCCGCCCACTTTTCCTTTTCAATGCGCTTTTAGCCTGTTTTTAAATTGGGGGACCTTTTTTTCTCCTCTCCTCAGGCGCCGGGATCGTCCCGAAAAAGAGAAGCGGGAGGGCCCCCACGGACGAGAAGCGGGAAGGGAAAGAGGGCCATTGGGAGAAGAGGAGCGCCGAGCGATGACGTGCGTAGCGCGCCGGACTGCCGCGGCACGGTGGTGCGTGAGCCGAGGTTGGTGGCGCGAGCTTCGGAACGAACCAGCGGGAGGCGCCTGCGCCAGACTGAGGACCCCCGTGAAGGAACCGCGGCTTCACCGGTAAATGAGGGAGGGGAGAGAGGACGAGGGCACGCCTGGCTGTCTCCGCCCCGTCCCTTCTTCCCGTCCGGTCAGGATGCGAGCCAGCGAAGGCCCCGCACTCTGAGGCGGCGGGCGGCCTGTCGGGACTGAAATGAGCCGAGGGAGTCGCTAGTTGTGAACGGGCTCGAGTCCTGAAATGTGGATGGGCTTGTGCGCTCCTGAGGGAGAACCAGCGGCCGTGTGTAGACTGTCTTTTCTCACTAGGTCTAGGAGATGCTTTGCCTAATCGATGCTCTTTTCTTTCTCATGCCCCGAAGCCTTGGCTAACAAACATGTAACGGTCCTACGACTGGACGTCTCGTCAAAGTCTAGCGCTCACGAAGGTCGCTTCTCCTAGAATAACGAAGAAAAGTTGTCCCTGGTAGAAATCTTTCTCGGTCACCGATACCCGCAGGAATAGTTTCCTCCGAGGTTGCACCTGATTTATTGAAAGAGGGAATTCTTGGAACCTTGAGTTATAATGGAAAAGGCAGTTGCAATAGGTCAAGTAACTTTATTTAAATCACTCATGAACCTCAGTCATCTTCTCTTTTAAGTTTAGGCGACTCAAACCAACAAGCAGGCTTCTATGTTTAGGAACGATATAAAAATATAATCTTATTAAGAGAAAAAATGATTAAGCAGAATGATTATGCATAGTCTGGAGAAAGTTAAAGGTTGGTGTTTAGGGATTCTGCTGTTTTAGTACAGAGCACATATTTTAGTACAGTGTATTTTCAACCTTTCACTTATTTTTAAAAGTGTCTGGATCGACCAACAGTAAACAACAACCCTCAAGAAAGTACTTTTATAGCCATATAGGTGTTCTGTTCTTATATTTTTTTATGAGTTAGTCTAATAAGATAGGGCAGCACACTAAAATTGCAATCCTATGTATGATTACAGAGGTGAAACTCTCCTGATCTTTGTGCTTCTGAACAAGCTTGAGCTGAAAATTGAGCGTATTTAAAAATATTCCAGGACTCCCACTACTTTGTATCTGTTTGCTAGAAAAATAACATAATATCTTTTGCTTCAATAAACAAAAATGAGATGGATAAGGTAGTTTCTAAAGCATTGGGAGAAAGGAGGATCCCTTGGGTCATTCTTGACAGTGCCAAGTGATAAATTTCATAAGGAATCTAACTCTAGATGTGTCAGTTGCTGCTGCAACTTTTCTTCTTCTCCTACCAACTTTCCTTGATTGATCCATTATAGATAGAAATTCATCACAAGGTAAATTTTAACTGCTATACTTGGCTCCTGAGGTAGCATGTATAAAAGCCCAGGATGGAAACAACCACTAAACGAACAGCACATGGAAAGGAATGAGATCAATGGGAAACAGAGGGCTGGTTTAGCAGATCTTTGTGGCATTGGAGCAGCTGCATATCACTTTTTCCATGTGAGTTAAGAAGTGCCACCAGGAGGAAATGTAAATGGACTTGCTTAGCATCCATTTAGACTGCTGCTATGTATCAGTGGGATGATTATTACCTATTGAGAGATACTGCTTTAAAGTGTGATGATTGCGGATCTATACTTGTGCACTTGGGTATACAGTACTTAAGAATATATGAAACTGTTAATTTGCATCCTCACAGATTCCTCTTATCCATGCGCTCTTTTTCTGCCCTCTTCTGATGTTTCTGTATTCAGCTGCTGTTGATTTCCTGGAAAGTTTTATTTCTAGAAGGCTCAGTAAATCTTTTCAGTACAAAGACCAAATATGAACTGATCTAGTTTTTCTTCTCACAAAACTACCTTGTTATGTTGGCACTTCTAATATGAAGCTGGCTTCCAGCCATCTAATAAACTGAACACAAGGACATTTAACACAGACAAAATAAAGTTCTTTGCCTAACATGTAATGTAAGCTATGGAATTCATTGCTAAAACTGTGATGATGGCCACTAACTTGGATGGTTTTAAAAGAGGATTGTATGAATGCATGGAGGGGAGTTCTGTCAGTGTTACCTTCAGCCTAGGGCATCAGGCTCCAGATATCAGCTGCAGAGCAATAATGGTGAAGGAAGGGTATGTCTCTGTCTCCAGCTTTCAGGTACTTCATAGACATTTGGTTGACCTTTAAGAAAGACAAGATGTTGAACTAAAGTGGTTCTTGACTTGGACTCCTACTCTTTTAATATTCTTACGAGTTGTTTCTGAGTTTAGTGTTATTTTAGGAACAAAGAACGCAGTCTGAAAATTAGCAAAATCAAGATAAAGTCAATGTGGTGTCATCTTTATTATTATCCAGTTTTTTTTCTTGCACGTGCTATTTCAATTTATTATAAAAATCAATCTTCTAGTTGCAGTGTAAGCATGCATAAAAGATTGCATACATTTTCAAAAAAATTAACTAAACGTGCCTTTTATTAAATCAGATCTTTATAGGACGGTTTTATTTACTTCCTGTTTTAGTTGGAATTATATTGAAGGATTTTTTTAAAAATTGATTACTGCAAGTTGCTCTTGGACAATTATGCTGATGAATAATTGGGCTTCTGTTATTTCTATATATTTTCAAATATTAGCTGGTTATTTTATATCATTTGTCACATTTGTCTAAGAGCTTGTTAGCATGAGGACTAATATTGAACAAAACAAATCAGTACTATATTTTTGTTGGACCTTGAGCATAACTTAAAATTGTATTTATTTAATGGGTGACCATTATGATTACAGTTATACATGTTTATATTTTCAGTACTTGAAGTCACTGATAGCTAGTGTGTGAGTACCATATGAGAGAGTATTGGAAGAATGGATAAAGTTTTTTTTTAATCTGGGGTCAGGTCATATGCGAATTCTTTATTGTGATCTGTATTTTTTATGAGGTTTGTTGCTAATAATTGTTGTAGATAAAAAATTAAATATTTGTAAATTTGAATGTCCCTAATTCTCATTTAGTAAATACTTAAATCAGTACAAAAGAAGCAATAGGACCTCTTAGGAAAGCTAACAATGCATTTTTAAAAATGTTTTGAATAGATTTTCATGGATCTCCATAGTGCCAGTAACATTGTTCTTCAAGTCTTGACCCAAGCTACTAGTCAAGATACTTCTGTATTAAAACCAGCAGAGGAACAACTAAAACAGTGGGAGACACAACCAGGTTTCTATTCAGTTTTGTTGGTAAGTTAAAACAATGCAATTATATTAGTTCAAGTATCTCTTAATAATCATCTTTTTTATTTACCCTTTCTCTATTTTCCTATAAGGAATAAATACTTTGTATCTATCATAGCAATTCCTAAATATACCTGTATTACATAGCAGATGTGATGCTATTATGAGCACATTGGTAATTAAGTTTCTAATAATTTAATTTTTTTTAATGTGTTCATTGTTTGAACTTTACTGCCAAATATATATGATTGTGTTGTCTGTTTTGATGAACTTTGATGAATGCTGCCCCAGTTTAAAAAAAACTTCTATAAAATGAACAAACAAACTGTTGTGGATTATTTATTCAATTTATATATTATATATAATAATCATCTCCTTTAAATGAAAGGATTTAGGATATCCTTAGATTCTGATTCCTGTTTGACACAAAGAACACAAGAGGAAAAACTATTAGGAAATGCATGCCTTTTGATGGTTGAAAGTTAATTATGTGAAGAAAATACACACAATAAATATTGTAATAAATTCAGTATAGAGTACATCCCAGTAACTGCAGTTGGTCACATTTTAATTATATTGATAAACTATGCATATGAATTATAATTAAGCTAAATATGTAGCTAGATGGAGTATTTCTTTTCTTTCAAACAAAAAGTGCTTTTTTTCTTTGAGTGTCACCTGCTACAGTGTGTGAATATAATACAAGAAACTGGCCAATTATCATTATCCACTTTGAAATAAGAATACAGAACAACCTCTATAGCACTCAGACACTGTTCATGATTAAATTAGTATTCTGAAATATTCTGAATTAATATGACATTGAATTAAATCCACAGATCATACAACTAAATATGTGAATTAGGAAATTATGTGGAAATTATATGGAAAATATTCGTTGAATATATAATCTATCTGCAACTATTTAAAGCAGCAATATCTTTTCCTGAAATTAAGCCTTCCTCCAGTAATTGCCAAATAGTCTTGGGAAAAGAGAGATGCTCTAAGATTTACAGACAGATGTTTATGACTTCATATGTCAACATTTTCTTGGGAATCAAAATCAGAACATTTTAATTTTAAGCCTATGCTATATATCTTAGGCCAACAACTATAGCATTTTCAAAACTCTATTCTCTATGTACATCATGCACTACCACAAAATTTGGGAATATAGATACTTGCAAC